AATAAACCATAACATTTTCAGTTAATGGTCTATGCTGCAAAATTATCATTATTTTGATAGGAAAAATCATTTATATCCATAGTTTTGTTTATTTCATTATTGGTTCTTGGTAATGTCGCAATTAGACATGAATTTTTGGTATTCTTTGAATTTTTTAAATTTGAAAAATATCGGATTTAAATTTGATGGATTTATCAAAGGAAGTTGGGAAGCAATACTTCCGTGTTACGGACAGATAGAATTCTGAGATTTGAAATGATGAAGGGCGGTAGATCGTATAACAATACATAACATATCAATACATAACAAAAGAATAAGAAGCGGTGGAATTGACCTTGATGAAGGGTGCTGACAATGACGGGGTGGTGATGAAGGGACGTGGTGATGATGGGAAGTGGTCACGATGGGAAGTGGTGACGATGGGAAGTGGTGAGGAAGGAAAGTGGTGACGATGGGAAGTGGTGAGGAAGGGAAGTGGTGAAGAAGGGAAGTGATGATAAAGGGGAGTGGTGAGGAAGGGAAGTGGTGAGGAAGGGAAGCGGTCTCGATGGGAAGTGGTGAGGAAGGGAAGTGGTGAAGAAGGGAAGTGATGATGAAGGGGAGTGGTGAGGAAGGGAAGTGGTGAGGAAGGGAAGTGGTGACGAAGGCAAGTGGTGAGTTGGGGAGGAAGCCGGAGCACGAAACCTTGTGTTTTTCCGTGTAAAGTGGCTGCAGCCGGCGATGAAAGTACCTCGTGTGTGCGGCGGTTGCGGCTGCGGTCGTTTGGTTCCTTCTATGTGTTTTGCAACAATGGTTGTTCCTGTGTGGGTAGTTCTATGCGTTTCTTGAAGCTGTGGTTGCGGATCGCATTGGAATGACTGCATGAATGTTGCGTGGGCTTTGTTTTGGGGAGGAAGCTGGAGCACGAAACCTTGTGTTTTTCCGTGTAAAGTGGCTGCAGCCGGCGATGAAAGGTACCTCGTGTGTGCGGCGGGTGCGGCTGGGGTCGTTTGGTTCCTTCTATGTGTTTTGCAACAATGGTTGTTCCTGCGTGCGTAGTTCTATGCGTTTCTTGAAGCTGTGGTTGCAGATCGCATTGGAATAGCTGCATGAATGTTGCATGCCGTGTGTTGTGGGGAGGAAGCCGGAGCACGAAACCTTGTGTTTTTCCGTGTAAAGTGGCTGCAGCCGGCGATGAAAGGTACCTCGTGTGTGCGGCGGGTGCGGCTGGGGTCGTTTGGTTCCTTCTATGTGTTGTGCAACAATGGTTGTTCCTGTGTGCGTAGTTCTATTCGTTTTTTGAAGCTGTGGTTGCAGATCGCATTGGAATAGCTGCATGAATGTTGCATGCCGTGTGTTGTGGGGAGGAAGCCGGAGCACGAAACCTTGTGTTTTTCCGTGTAAAGTGGCTGCAGCCGGCGATGAAAGGTACCTCGTGTGTGCGGCGGGTGCGGCTGGGGTCGTTTGGTTCCTTCTATGTGTTTTGCAACAATGGTTGTTCCTGCGTGCGTAGTTCTATGCGTTTCTTGAAGCTGTGGTTGCAGATCGCATTGGAATAGCTGCATGAATGTTGCATGCCGTGTGTTGTGGGGAGGAAGCCGGAGCACGAAACCTTGTGTTTTTCCGTGTAAAGTGGCTGCAGCCGGCGATGAAAGGTACGTCGTGTGTGCGGCGGGTGCGGCTGGGGTCGTTTGGTTCCTTCTATGTGTTTTGCAACAATGGTTGTTCCTGTGTGCGTAGTTCTATGCGTTTCTTGAAGCTGTGGTTGCAGATCGCATTGGAATGGCTGCATGAATGTTGCATGCCGTGTGTTGTGGGGAGGAAGCCGGAGCACAAAACCTTGTGTTTTTCCGTGTAAAGTGGCTGCAGCCGGCGATGAAAGGTACCTCGTGTGTGCGGCGGGTGCGGCTGGGGTCGTTTGGTTCCTTCTATGTGTTTTGCAACAATGGTTGTTCCTGTGTGCGTAGTTCTATGCGTTTCTTGAAGCTGTGGTGCAGATCGCATTGGAATGGCTGCATGAATGTTGCATGCCGTGTGTTGTGGGGAGGAAGCCGGAGCACGAAACCTTGCGTTTTTCCGTGTAAAGTGGCTGCAGCCGGCGATGAAAGGTACCTCGTGTGTGCGGCGGGTGCGGCTGGGGTCGTTTGGTTCCTTCTATGTGTTGTGCAACAATGGTTGTTCCTGTGTGCGTAGTTCTATTCGTTTTTTGAAGCTGTGGTTGCAGATCGCATTGGAATAGCTGCATGAATGTTGCATGCCGTGTGTTGTGGGGAGGAAGCCGGAGCACGAAACCTTGTGTTTTTCCGTGTAAAGTGGCTGCAGCCGGCGATGAAAGGTACCTTGTGTGTGTAATACTATTGTCTTTTGCAGCTGAACATCGTGGAGTGGCTGCATCCAGGCTGCAATAGTGATTTGTCAGCAGATTTTCGCAATTTTGGTGCTAGTAATTTTCCTTTGAAAATTCTTTTTAAAAAGTGCTTCAAAATCGTCTTTTTGTCGCTTTGGCGTCGAGATCCGGTTTTGGAGCTGCAGTTTCAGAGGCCGTTGCGCGTAGTTCTATTGTGTTTTGCAACTCAGTGTCTGCAGATCGCATTGTAGTGGCTGCGTCAAGGTTGCTCGGTGCCGCGGCTGCATGCGTAATACTATTGTGTTTTGCAGCTGAACATCGTAAATCGTATTGGAGTGGCTGCATCCAGGCTGCGATAGTGATTTGTCAGCAGATTTTCGCAATTTTGGTGCTAGTAATTTTCCTTTTAAACATCATTTTTAAAAAGTGCTTCAAAATCGTCTTTTTTCTGCTTTGGCATCGACATCCATCCGGTTTTGGAGCTGCAGTTTCCGAGGCCGTTGCGCGTAGTTCTATTGTGTTTTGCAACTCAGTGTCTGCAGATCGCATTGTAGTGGCTGCGTCAAGGTTGCTCGGTGCCGCGGCTGCATGCGTAATACTATTGTGTTTTGCAACTGAACATCGTAAATCGTATTGGAGTGGCTGCATCCAGGCTGCGATAGTGATTTGTCAGCAGATTTTCGCAATTTTGGTGCTAGTAATTTTCCTTTTAAAAATCATTTTTAAAAAGTGCTTCAAAATCGTCTTTTTTCTGCTTTGGCGTCGACATCCATCCGGTTTTGGAGCTGCAATTTCCGACACCGTTGTGCAACTCAGTCTCTGCAGATCGCAATGTAGTGGCTGCGTTAAGGTTGCTTGGTCACAGTAGTACTGGGAAGTAGTTTGTGCAAGCTTTGTAGTACACAGTAGTACTGGGAAGTGCTCTGTGCAAGCTTTGCAGTACAAAGTAGTACTGGGAAGTGTTTTGTGCAAGCTTTGTAGTACAAAGTAGTACTGGGAAGTGCTTCGTGCAAGCTTTGTAGTACAAAGTAGTACTGGAACGTGCTTTGTGCAAGCTGTGCAGTACAAAGTAGTACTGGGAAGTGTTTTGTGCAAGCTTTGTAGTACAAAGTAGTACTGGGAAGTAGTTGGTGCAAGCTTTGTAGTACAAAGTAGTACTGGGAAGTAGTTTGTGCAAGCTTTGTAGTGCAAGCACAAAGTAGTACTGGAACGTGTTTTGTGCAAGCTTTGTAGTACAAAGTAATACTGGGAAGTAGTTTGTGCAAGCTTTGTAGTACAAAGTAGTACTGGGAAGTGTTTGTGCAAGCTTTGTAGTACAAAGTAGTACTGGAACGTGTTTTGTGCAAGCTTTGTAGTACAAAGTAGTACTGGGAAGTAGTTTGTGCAAGCTTTGTAGTACAAAGTAGTACTGGGAAGTAGTTTGCGCAAGCTTTGTAGTACAAAGTAGTACTGGGAAGTGCTTTGTGCAAGCTTTGTAGTACAAAGTGCTACTGGGAAATGCTTTGTGCAAGCGTTGTAATACAAAGTAGTGCTGGGAAGTGCTTCGTGCAAGCTTTGTAGTACAAAGTAGTACTGGAACGTGTTTTGTGCAAGCTTTGTAGTACAAAGTAGTACTGGGAAGTGGTTTTTGCAAGCTTTTGTAGTAGACATCAGTACTGGGAAGTACTTGATATGAAAATAGCCAAGAAGAACTTAGCTGACATATGGGAAGACATGGAATGAGATGAGAAGAGCTCAGATGAGATGAGTTGAGATGAAGTGCAAGTGTGAAGTGTGGAGTGTGGGGTGTGAAGAGTGCAATGTGAAGTGTGAGGAAAGTGTTTGCATTGTACCGGGGTCGCGCGCAGGTCATGTTCTTGGACAGCAACACTGCAACAGCTTCGCACAAAGCACGCACGCACGGGCCTGGCTGGCGCACGGCGCATGCAAGTTCCTTAGTAGTAGTACTGGGAAGTGATTCATGAAAGCTTAGATGACATATGAGAAGAGATGAGCTGGGATAAGGTGAGAAGAGCCCAGGTGAGATGAAGTGTGGAGTGTGAAGGGTGCAGTGTGAAGTGGGGCGTGAAGAGTGCAGTGTGAAGTGTGGAGTGTGAAGTGTGAAGTGTGGAGTGTGAAGTGTGAAGTGTGGAGTGTGAAGTGTGAAGTGTGGAGTGTGAAGTGTGAAGTGTGGAGTGTGAAGTGTGAAGTGTGGACTGTGAAGTGTGGAGTTTGCAGTGGGAAGCGTGCAGTGGGAAGCGTGCAGTGTGAAGAGTGCAATGTGAAGTGTGTAGTATGGAGTGTGAAGACTGTCAAGTGTGAAGTGTGAAGTGGAGCTTCAAATGTGACATGTGAAACAAGACACCAGTTTCGCAGAGTGCACGCACGCACGGGCTTGGCTGGCGCACGGCGCATGCAAGTTCTATAGATGAGAAAGGTCTTATATATTTCTTTAAGGCAACTTCCGCCCCGCCTCGTGCGGGTACTACTGGTATGATATCATAATCCAAAAAGCTCAAGTGAGAATAAGATCCACCAATCAGATTCTGACGTCTTTCATGATTTTAATGACCCGACCAGACCAGAGATCACATCCATGATCCATGATGATCCATGGCTCAAGAGAACGGTCCCATCCCTAAACATCAGAAATCTCAGCCTTCCCAGCAAAACATGGCCAAAGCTGGCAAGTTGCTTGCACCTTGGACTTGAAACGCTCAGCCCTGCGGGTTGCTGGACTCCAACGAAGTGACAAGGAGTCGATATGAGAAAATATAATTTTCATGGACACTGGGCTGGGGAAATTGTGAACAAAAACAAGTTCGGGACCCATACCTTTGGATGAACCGTCATAAATTCAGAAGAGAATTCAATGGCCAAGGCCTATGCAAGGGAATAATCCCCACAAAATATGGCCTTAATATACAGTACCTCCATTTTAGGGTCCTGAAAAATTCACATAAAACAATAAATCGCACATGTGTTGTGCTTCTGGTATGATTCTGCCTTGTCTCCGGTGAAGCTCTCACAACAAAAATGACTTGAAACATGGCTCACTGGAGCGAATCGGAAAGCCAATCAGAACTGTTTCAGGAAGTGGACGGAGGGATTCCCAACATGTTAGTTTGGAACGGACTCCAAATAAAACATGTTGGTTTGGTTTTACCAACTGTGAGATGTACCCACTCTTAACCCCAATTTTCACCTCGCCGTAAAGTTGTAGACCAATCTACTTTTCTCTTTGGGTCCACCTAGGGTCACCAAGGATTTCTACCGAATCCTGCCAAGCGAATGCGGGGATAATTTTTTAGAACTGCCATAACTGTAGTAGCCACGAAACCCGACTACCTGCGTGGCATTGAAACATGTTCACTATCCACCTCAACAGTTCTCATTAAGAATGATTTTAGTGACCAAACGGCGACCCTAAGTACATGACATGTCCTATGAAAAAAGAAAATGGTCGGAAAAGTCCTGAAGACGATAGAAGCGCAAGGTCATAGCCTCTCACACAGCCTGTTTTTGTGGGATATCATTTGTCTAGTATGCTCCCCTAAAACCCCAAGTATGGTTGGAAACTAACACGTAATCACTTGGTGTCAACAACCAGTTAGAATATTGGTATGCGTGTTTGCGCTTTTTCATCATTTTTGCTGGTTTTGATTGGCTCCCCTCTGCATTGATAGCAAAACCCCGTATATATGTAAACATCTCGTATTATTGTGGCCTGAGCATCCATATTCTCAAGCGGGTAGTTTGACCCACAAAAACATGCATTATCTTACTCTCTGGTAAACTAACATAACTATGGAAAATCTCCTTTTTTAATGGGTAAATCAACTATTTCTATGGTCATTTTCAATACCAAACTGTTAGTTTACCAGAGGGTATATCCCTGTTGTATCCCCAAACATCTTGATGGTTACAACCCCCAAATCATGATGGTGAATCCCAACTGATGGCGGTTTGCCAGAGGGTGGATGATGTATTTCACATTGAATCACCGGTGCAAATCCCATTGGTGGATCAACTTTCCCGGTTGAAACCGCTCCCGAGCCTTCCCCAGGTCCGTTCGGGCGAGATTTGATCAAGGGAATCGTGGGACAGGCCTAACCAACGGATCTTGGGAGATCAACAGAAATCTTCGGGGCGTTACCCTCTGGTAAATTAACACTTTGCTATTGAACATGACCATAGAAATAGTTGATTTACCCATTAAAACTTGTGTTTTATCCAGGTTTCAAACTTGAAACTGGTTGGTGGTATACCTACCCCTCTGAAAAATATTGGTATACTTACCCCTCTGAAAAATATGAGTTCGTCAGTTGGGATGATGAAATCCCAACTGAATGGAAAAAATGTTCCAAACCAACCAACCAGCTAGAGTTTTGATGAAAGACTGCAGTTTTCCAATTTTTTCGCCGATGTATTTGACTAACTTGTCGGTTTCCGATTGTTCAAAAGGGTTGAGCCCACAACAGACAACATTCCCCCAACAAATCGACCCTGCCAGATAAGGGGTTGGAAGATTACTGACTTTAAAATAGGGGGTTCATATGGGTTCATGCTAGTCTATGTTAGTTGGGGGTGATGGCGTTTTTTTCACCCTCAAACCCCAAACCCACCAAGCCCTCCAAAACTTCACCTTCAGCTGCTGTCTCTTTAACGCTTCCCGGAAACCACATCCAATCCTCCTGCTGTGGAAAGGAGATGTTTCATCTGCAATAATTGATGGTGAAGTTTCGCCCTTCTAAATCTGCTTGTTGGTGTTTAAAAACACTTCAACAAAACCTTGTTGTTGGGGGGTCAGCCTGGGGTGCTCATCCCATTAAGCCACCGTTGCGGGGATGGTTTTTATTGTAGGTGGCTCCCCCACAGTTGTAAAAAACCATTGGTACGTCTGTTGACTTATAATTTCTACAAGATGAAAAAGTAGTACTTGGGTTTATAACTATGATTGGTTTATTTTTTGTCCATCTAATCATAGTTGGAACCACCGTAGACCTCAATCATAGCTATAAACCCAAGTTAGCAAGCTATGCCTTGTAATTATCCCATCAGCATTTCATACATAACTCTAGCGTATCATGGGAAAGTTATGCCATAACTATCCTACTGCCATAATTACTCCACCGAGTGGACCTACCTCGATCCATGGGGCAAATGACGAAGAAGTGAATGGAATGGGATACGAAATCTTCGTGCAGCCCTTTGTGCCCTTTTTAGTTCGAAATGAAATCTGGGTGAATTCGAATACTTCGCTGACCTGAAATTAGCTGAAAGCTTGGGCCGTTTGGGGATGATTGTCCTTCCTAACCATCATTCCAGTGACGTAGTGATGTCACGACGTGAGGTCATGATAAGTCATCCAAATACTTGCATAAACCCAACATTCATTTCATTCATATTCTATCAGTAGCCCCATGGAATATTAATGATATATACCATTGGAATATATTCCATGGGGCTAATGGTATATTTCATTAATATTCCCTAGACATTACACATTAATGTAATGTCTAGGGAATGTACCGATTCCCACCGATTCCGCCTGTCCTGCCTGTCCTCGTGACACTGTGGAGCTGACCTGATGAAAAAAATTGGCGCTGTCGCCGGAGCATTGCCAATCTTAGATGGCACCCTTATGGAATTCACTTCACTTTTACACACACATACATACATATATATATATATGTATATATATATATAAAGAGCTATATATAATTTGTTGGTACATCTAGATACTATAGATTCTTATAATATGCATTCCCTTTCACAATTGCCATGTAAAACAAACATCGCCCAACTCAGTGGGTGTCTTCACCAAGGGTAGGGGATGGTCCAGGAATGGTGGGCGCACAAATACCGCAATAATCATGGCAACTGTACAGAAGTTTTTGTGGGAACTCAGGTTCATAGCCGGAAATACCCAAAAAAACATTGCTAAAACAATTATCGACATGGCACAAATCCTGGAGTTCAATGATTTTTCCAGCTCCAAAGCTCCATTGATATCCATTATTATCCATTTTAAATAATTTTTGCAATATCTTCCTGTGGTTTTCCTATGGTTTATCAATAATTTTCCATTATTATCCATTATTAGCAATATTTTCCTGTGGTTTTCCTATGGTTTTTCCCATTCAACACCTAGCTCCACCGTTTGGGATTTCCCAGCTCCACCTGCCGCTGTCATCGATGCACAGATATCCAGGTGCCACCATGGCGCGGCTGGCGGCAGAGCCCAAAATGGCAGAGCCCAAAATGGCTCGGAAGGTATGGTCATGTGGCCATCCGCCATCCTTATGATCGGAACACACACACATATAATATAGTAAAAACAATATATATATATATATAATAAGAAGAATAATAATGATAACAATATAATAATACTACTATAATAATAACATAAAATCATATAACTATGTATATAATAAAATAATAATAGATATGTAAATATATATATATATATATCATTTATATGTATATACATATTTATATATGATAACAATACCTACATATATATATATGACTGCTTATGATTGATTATGTAATGTATGTATATTTCATTTTCATGGATTCTGGATTGATGACTATTCCCCAATATGAATATGTAGACCATGGCACAGGTGAATAATACATTTATTTCTTTGTAGGTTCCCTCCACGGGGGTTCTTGATCCAGGGTTGACATTTTCTGAAAATCCCCAAATACAGCGCCCCCCAAATACGACACTATGCTTTCAACGACAAACACCAGGGTGTTCACCGTCATCCCGAGAACCAGCAATTGATAGTCGTATGATTAGTTCAGATGAAATTTCGGCAAATGGGCATAAGTAAAATCAAGTAGACAAGGATCATACTTTGAAGTTGCTGTGAGCTACTCCCCCAAGGTTTATGGCTGAACATTGGCCCGCTAAGTTATATATATCCTTCACCAAGGTGACTTTTAACTGGAAAATTGCCATTGAGGGGGCCAAGCCTCGCAGTTGGGCAAAAAGGGGCACCATTCATTCATCCTTCCTTAACTAATTGGTGCAACCAGACTTGCAACTTGAAGAGGCTTCATCTATTCATATTCTGCCAGCCGATACCTATCATACCTCAGACAACCTCACCACTACCATCCCATTCGCCAACTGTCTGGGGCTCATGTTAAATCATCCCATTACTAGGGGGCATATCCAATTTCATAAACCCTACCATCTGGTTATTGAACATAGCCATGGAAAATCCCTTATAAATGGAGGTCTTATTGGGAACATCATCTGTAAATGGGCCATTTTCCATGGCTATGTTAAATAACCAGGGGGTAATCGTGGATGGTTCATTATTAGTTCTAGTTACTAGTTATCCCATAATTACCCGTTGTTATCTCACCATTCTCCTATATCAATCCATATGATCAAGATTAACCAGAATATTATCAGTTTGTGATTCACTGGAATTAGGTTAACCAATAAGACCAGTCATTCAGTCATTCATATAGAGATTATTGACATCAACAATATGAACTATTGCTATAGTCAAATAGTCATATGATAATTAATTATCTATCATAGTTGATATAACATTATACATAACAGAATATATTGATAAATAATGATAAATATCACCTATATAAAGAATTATAAAGATATAAAGCCACTATCACTCATATATCCATTCTTCGTCGCTTTATCACACTACTAGTTGCTTAAGCCGACCACCGTCCCGCCTACGGGAAATCCCGTGGAATTGTCCAAGCCTGCCGAAGCAACAAAAATCACCACGGGGAGCGGATTTTTTCGGATGAAACTTGGGGAAACTGGCAGGTTTCATGATGGGTTTTCACATGTTTTCAAATGTTTTCTTCAACTTCAACTTACGTCACGTTGTTCAAAGAACGTCCAGAGGCATTGCCTCAGTTCTCTCTAGGTGAAACCGGCCAAACATGTGGGTAAGTTCAAAAATGATCTCCATTTTCGGTACAATGATCCAGAAGATGCAGCAAGCAACACAACTTGGGATAATTCTTGGGACAAACCTACCCAGCGTCGCGAGGTTCATCTGTCAGCCGTCCCTGACTTCCGACGAAGGGCGTTGCAGCTGTACGCCACCTGATCCAGGCTCATCTGCGTCTGCCAGCCACACATTTTGATCATCATTGTGACAAAAGACAGGATGAGGAAATTTCATCGGATCACCAGCAAGATAGGCCATTTGGAGGCGGCCTTGGTCGCTTGAGCCTAAGTGCTTTCATGCTCTGCAGATGGTTGCTCATTGGGAGAAACTGGATATCAGAATCCCCGGAAGTGAAACTTGGAGTTCCACAATTCATCAAGGAAAAACCGTCCTTCAGAGGGGGAAAAAACCTCGATGTAAGATCATTTGTACCAAACAATGGGTAGGCGGAAAGACAAGGAAAAACTATGGGGACATAATTCAGGAACAGCCCGGACATGAACCAAAAACTATGTGATCATCTGATTGGTAGGTGAGCCACCCATGGTACTCCATGGTGTAGTAACCGCCAAACAGATGCGGGATTGACCACTACATTTTAATCCAGTACAGGAATTAGCCACCCCAAAACGATAGAAACGTATATATATATACATACACGCACAAGAGTTACCACTCTTGGAGCATATGTCAGTTCATAAACCACAAATTCAATGGATACCTGGAAAGAAGTAATGTGGGCAAATCAAAGCCATAAACCATTTCCCAGTCATCACCATTTTTATAGATGGTAGTTTTACCATTCCCAGTCATTGGTGCTTTAGTAAATTGTTTTACCCACGATATTGTCATAGTCATGTCATAATTATCCATCATAGTTGATATAACCATATATAACAAAACATATTCATAAATATCACCTATATAAAGATACAACACATACAAATTGCCCCAGGGGCGCCCTCACCAGAAACATCACCCCTTGTTGGGGCTTGCTACACCCGGATGCGCCTTCATTATCACCGGTGACCTGCACAAAGGTCAGGTTGGGATTTAGAGTTGATGGAGTGGTAGTTTTGATGGAGTCTTTATGGTGATTTTATGGACTTTAAGGGTGTTCTCATGGAATGCCCATGGAATATTAATGGCAAATTCTGTTATATCCTCTGGATATTGAAACAATTTGCCATGGAAAATCACAGGATTTTCTTAAGTTTGGTAGGTCATCGAGCTATATCGAGCTATTGGCTGTCATTTTCCATAGCGAACTATCGACGATTACCGGGTATGGCAGATGTACAGCTAATGGATCACCTTTTGGGTGGAAATCCTGGTTGGAAGTTCTTTCTCATCAACTTTCTGCTTTGGCTCAACATGATTTTATGTCATATCACACACACACATATATAATCATATATATATATATATTATAGACCTTAAATGGTATTTTATAATATTATATAATACTATATCATATAAAATGCATAATATATATATACACATCTATATATGTACCATCATTTTGGCTCATCCTACAGAATCCAAGATATCAGCAAACAACACTTCAGATATCAGCTGTGCCTCCCAGTATTGTTGCATCGCTGCGTGCACTTGTGTCCGAGTCCTTGGCTTGTGCGCCATGGCTTTTGGAGCTCCCAACGGCTAAAGTTTCGGCGAAAGAGGTCAAACATGAGCCATTTCAAGCCTTTTTGTGGCTATAATCCACTTCTAGCTTGAAACTATGTTGGTTGATGAACTATGGGTCTATCAGGGTCAGGGTAATCGATGCAGCCGAAGATCTCGTTGCAGCGCTTTAACCTAGAGGTATCGATGGCAGTAATGTTGTCGAAGTACTTGGAAGGATTTGTCCAAGAGACCTGAACAAATGGTGCAGCAAAATGGGGAAACTGTAGTGGTTAGTTCAGAAGGTAGTTTTAATCGTGTTTAACAGTGGTTATGAAGAGTGGTTACTGTAATAGTGTTCAATACTGATTAGCATTGATTAATAACGGCTGATAATGGTTTTTCATGGCATTCAGGGGTGATTGAGTAGGAACAATCCTTCCCCAAAGCATCGTTTTTGCGAAGCAATGTTGATGCTGACGAATAGGTGATATGATGGGGATATAATGCTTAAATAATCCACATGCCCCATTCATATGAAATGGAGATGTTCATGGGATATCATGGGAAAATATACTGGGATTACAATGGGAAATATCATGATTATATATATATAATACCTTCCCCCATTCATAGTAAACACCTGCCACAAGCCATGGTTTTAGCCTGGGGATGATCCAAAAGATGAAGCCTGGTGGGTGCGTCTCTCATTTGTTCTACTTTTTTGATGGGAAAAATTTGGGGACCAAACTTTGAGCATCTATGAGAGATAAGATATCTCCATTCTTTGGGGATATGTAAAATATCTTTGGCAGGTTTCCAATGGCAGGGGTCTTATCATCAAGCAGCAGCAGAACAAGCAGCTGCCATGGATTCACCCAACGGATTTTTGGGTCGGACATTTTGCCACCCTCTGGTAAACATTTACATAGCAAAAATTATCATGTTTCATGGGTAAATCAACGAACTTGGATAAAGCCATGTAATAGCTATAGTTCAATTACCAGAGGGTACCAAATTGGATAAAGCTACGAATTTCCGAGGTGAACTATGGAACAAGGGAGCCCGAGCGCGCCGCTGGTTGCACTGTTGGATCACAGCTTCCAGTCGCAAATCATCTGCCGCACCCATTTGTTTTGGGTCCACGTTGGGGTTTGTAAGGGATATCAAGAGGGTGGTATAAGTTCAATTCTGTCACCATCATTTGGATGGTAAAAAGCAAACTTTGGATGGTAGTTGGGTAGTGATATCGCAATTAACATGCCATAAATTGGATCCTTAAATCTGATTAATTATATCTCCATAAATCCCCCATTGCGTCCAATTTTCCATTAATCTACATTAAACTTCACAATCTCATCAAACCTCATGACATACCATAATTCTGATTGTTTTTTTGCGACAAGACACGTTGTAGGACCGGTAGTATTCCAAGGTCAGCCCCTCCTTGGCCGAGCCGTACGAGGACCGCCAACGCAACATTTTCTTTTGGATATACATGGAGACATATTTTCATCTTTCTATATAGATACATGTGGGGGTGGTGACCATATAACGAAATAAATAAATAAATAAATAAATAACATATATATATACATACATAAAAATAAGTATGTATATATATATATGTATATGTATATGCTATCTTAGCTGCCAGCTGCTAATTATGCTACATTTATAATTTGTAAATCGTTTAGATTTAGATACAAATAATAATGTATCAGCAAAAGAGGTGCTCTCACAACGGCCCAACTCAGGGGGTAAGATTCATTGCTTCCCACTAGATTTTGGCCCTAGAATTTATATTAATTCATGGCATTGGGTTTACCACTAAGCTTAATTGACCAGTATTAAGCACATTAGGAGACTACGCAAAATCTTCAGCTACTAGATCATTGAACTCAAAAAACAATTCTTCACCGTAAATGTTACTAGATCATTTTTTTAAAACTATTCTTCACCGTTTTTAACCACTACTAACTTGGAGTAAGTGAGTAAGCCTGGGAGTATAAACACTCACCAGAAACAAGATGAAAATCATGGTTTCGGCCCTGGCCAAGCAGCCGGCCGAACCCCCGGCAAACTAGGCGGCAACATGCCGGTCAAGTTAGCAAAAATCCGAGGCAAAAAAGAGCAGCAAACCGAGTAGAAATGTCGCCTCAAAAGGCACAACCTGCCACCAACATAAATTATTTATCATTATTTGCTTCCAACTTGGGATGCGCCTGGCATTACTTCAATAGTTCACTGCCGGACACCAGGTGCATACCGGGTTTCCATTATCGCTTTTAGCGCCTGCCAAGCTGACGGTTAAAGGTCTCAAGCGTCCAGCGCCGCGCATTGGACAGGACAAGTTGGTTGCGTGGGCCTTGATTTCACAGCAAAGCTGCTCAAGCAGCCGCCGCCCCTCAGGCAAGCAGTGCTGAGCTGACAATTCAGCTGAAAACTGTTTTGGAAAAAGAACACTTAAATTGTGACTAGTTGTGACAGGTCTTGCGTTGGAGACGGCGGGGCTTGGCAGAAACTTGGGAAAAAGAACTTGTAACTTGATGCAAACCTGACGGCTTTGCGCTAACCTTGCAGAAGCCCGAGGCTGGCGGAAACCCGCCCGGAACCTACCAAAACCCGGCGGAACCCGGCGGAACCTGGCGGAACCTGGCGGAAACCTGGCGGAAACCTGGCGGAACCCGGCGGAAAAAAAGTAAGTTAAAGGGGGGGTGGTTGGGAGTAATTATAACTTTTGGCATGGCTTATACTCCCAACCACCAACTCCTTCAGCCTTCAACTAACTTTTTTTCCGCCAGGTTTCCGCCAGGTTTCCGCCGGGTTCCGCCGGGCTCCGCCGGGTTCCACCGGGTTCCGCCGGGTTCCGCCGGGTTCCGCCGGGTTCCGCCGGGTTCCGCCGGGTTCCGCCGGGTTCCGCTGGGTTCCGCCGCTCCGCTGGGTTCTGCTAGGTTCCGCTGGGTTCCAGGCTTTCGCCAGGTCAGTTCCGCCGGCTTGTGCCGGGTTCTGCCGTTTCCGCCAACAAGGTTCCTGCTAGGATTGTGCCAGGTTCTTGCCAGGCGTCTGTCAAGGTTGCAGCAATCAAAGAAGCGTTTTTTGCAAGTGCCCGGACATTGTCCAAGTCGGCTTATGGAAAAAATCACCAATAAGATGGCTTTCCTGGTAGAGTAGCAGATCTTGTTTGCTGTGACCCCATGAAAGAGGGGATGCAATATTGATTTTCGATTTTCATTGTTCAGCTTTTCCACATTGAAACGTGCCAACATGTACCAAATTTCATTGACTTTTGCGTTGAACACATTTGCCATTGAAAATGACCGTAGATTTGGCTTGGCCAGAGCTAGTTCGCGCGCTTTGCCGGGCCTCTTGCCGGCACATTTGCCCCTAATTTTGCTTGTCCATCAATGGGTCGGATGTTCTGCCATACGACTTGCCGGCACAAATGCCATGGCTTTCGTTCCCACAGAGTTAACCACAGGTTCTGCCGCTAAGTTTGCCGGCCACAAAACCAAAGAAATCGGGTTTCTTGAGTTGCGCCAGCCCTTCTGCCGGTGGTTTTACCGCCCTTTTAGCCACAGTTTTGGGTCAGTTTGGCCCAAAAAGTAATTATGAGTGTTTATACTACCTCGCTACTTTCAATACTAACCGTTCAATTCACCTAGGATCCCCCACAGCACCGGGCACTTCTTCCTTCGGCAGCTGAGGTGCCGAATAGTAGGCCTCTTCCTGCAATTTGGAGGTCAGAAAGGCCGACCTCGTGAACGGTGTTCGGTGAGACCCATCGGAAAATGGTGGTTTCACCAAGAGAAATCTGGTGATTTGTGATGGGATGTACAGATGATTTATGATAGCAATCAGTTGGTGAATATAAAATAATATAAATAACTAATTGAATCAAAAATGGTAGATGTATCGAACTATTTATATAACCGGTTTGTAAATCAACACACATAACTGGGGAGCCTCACCTTGCACTAAGCCCGCCAGCATACCCCCCAGTATTCTACCCCCACCATTTCTGGGGGTTTGCTGGGCGGGTTTACCATGGTTTACTGCATTAGGAGAAAGGGATTCAATACTAGAACTTCTAAGTCATCGGAGAATAGATGTGCCTTGGTAAAAAATAATTCTACACTGGTTTATTGGGAATCTTTGAAGGTTTCTTTGATCACTAACAATGGATTGATGACCGTCACCTATTTTTGCAGCATATTTTCATGGGGGTCGATGGTGTAGAACCCGAGACCAAGGTCACCACCGTGCCTGCTGTGACGAGATCATGCTTCAGTGCCACACAAACTACCCTATCTGGCCATGCAATTCCCATAATTTTATGGTACACAAGGGTGCAGGTACAATATGGTACAATCATCTACAAAAAGGAATACTTAAATCGTAGTTCTGGGTCTACTCCGTCCCGTTGTGCGTTTCTGTGCTGCCCGGCACTCGGCCAACATAGCCCATGGCGCCCAGATTCAGCGGTGCAGTTGCTGGATAATCTCGTTGGACGTCATCCTTCGAAGAAGTCCAACAAGTCCATGGAATGATCACAGGGATACCAAGTGGTGGCAAAAAATGTTGAATCATTAGTGGCAGAAATATGTCAATTTCTTTTGTAGGGGGACATGGTTGATCGAAATTCACAATATCACTTCATTAATTATTTTAACATTTCAGAAAAATCGCAATTCGAATGGATAAATTTTCTGCAGCATCTTCAGCGCCAAGAGGCCCATGAGCTCTGATATGCCGTGGTCCAGCCCTCCAAACTCAGGTGGCTGTAAATGCTCCTTGGAGGGCTGATGAAATCAGCTGGAGCTTTAGTTTTGCGGATTACTGCAGTGCATATGTGTATGAAAATCTATATTAGACATACATATCTATAAATGAATATCTATCTTAATATATGTACTATATTTACATGTGTTTTTCATCATCTAGTAATTTGCGTCTTCATTCACTTATCTATTGATTCTATTCCGTATCCACATAACACCCCCCCAACATCCCACAAATCAGGGCGCAGCACCGCCAAGTTACATCAAATCGCTACATCCTCGTCGGTTGATGACAGTGGGCGTCTCGCAACCTGCCAAGTAGGTTGATGGATGTTGATGGTGAAGCTTTTCCACGGAAGTGTGGGACATTTTACGGTTGCAATCATGGTAACATATGGTAACTATACGCCCAAATATCGGAGTTTACCTGTAAATTTCCCTTCAACATCCTTCAACCACTTCTGGGAGTTTTGACCCCAAACGATGCTCATATGGATAGGTTTGACCATCGTTTGGTTGAAGGCATCCAAAATCTGCGAAAGTCAAGCATGTGCGACTCATTGATCAAACATATCGGTGGCAACTGTGAGCATAGTCTTCGAGGTCATATAGATTATGCACTTTTGGCTACATCCCGTTGGGGAGTTGAATAAATCTACATTTTGAGCGATTAAAAGCAGACATGGCCAAACTAGAGTATCCATGAAAGAAAGCCACACACACAGTACACTCAAGAAACAAGGAAAATATGGAAGCATCAAGTATCAAGTTTATCAAGTCTTCCAACAGCATGGGAAACATCAGCCCTTGGTTTCACAAATGTTTTTGCCAGCCCCATTCCACCAAGGTGCGGCCTCCTTGGAGTGTCCATCATTGTTGCCAAACATGGACACATGGCCGTTGAACATTTGTGTAGTTCTTAATTGTTGTGTATTTCTATGCGTTTCTGTGTGTTCTACCTATCTACTTATATATATATATACTATATGATACCTATCGATCTCTATCTCTCTCTCTCCCTCCCTGTCCCTCCCTCTCTCTCGCACTTTCTTTCTTTCTCTTTCTTTTTCTTTCTTTCTCTTTCTGTTTCTTGTGTTTTCCTGCTGTTTCCTTCTTTCTCCCTCTCTCTCTCTCTGTCTTTATACAAGCAAGAAAAAAACATACTAGCCCCAAAATCACCAATGGGTTGTAAAAACCATGCCCAAATGGTAGGTTTCTTATTGTGTTTGCCACATCATTTTTTTCTTCCTATTCATGGCTAAGAAATCGGCCTATTCGCCTGCGATTCACCATCCGTGCCTGCCAAAGCGTAGAAGGCATCGGGCGTGGCGGGCCCTGGGCCCTTATCCACGACGTTGTAGCCCAACCTGACAGATTTTGGGGTTCGATCCTGGGAAAAAAACGGCAGTTTCATTCCAAAAAAAGGGGTTCAGGCACCGCAAAGATCTTGGGATTTCACAGTGCTTTGATCCCCAAAAATGGAATTTCTATGAATGCCTTAATTATGCACAGGATGCAACGTTGCCCATGCCTTGGGAAACAAATATGGAACCCCAAAATTGCAATGTCCAATGCGTAAATACATCTTCCAAGCTACATCAGTTTGAAGTTCCACGGTAGGATTCAGGAAGGCAACTAGCAATTTGATGGAGGATTGCACAACAGAAATGGTGACTCAAAAGGTGCTAGGGATGTGATACCTGACATTTCCCTGCATATGTGGATTTCATGTGCTGATTTGCCCCCTCATCCCCACATATAATTTCTCATTCAAGGGCCCAAGGGCGAAAATCAAAAAAGACTTGAACAATCTTGAACATACCAAGCATCATTCCCTGCAAATCTAGGCAATTGTCTAAAACGTCACAAGCATACCATCGGTCACACTTCTTGGTCGATGCTACTCACCATCACCGTGAGGTCAGCCACTCAGGTGCTGGTGACCCTGCCCTCTGTTCGCATCCCCAACATGAATAGAACAATCTATTTTGGCATCTTCATGGCTCATCCATCATGGCTAGCTTCAAAATTTGGACATATCATGACATATCATGACATATCCAAAAAGACCATGGGATCCACGTGTTTGTTTTGTTTCCACAATCCCGGCTCCAATCCGCCCAGGTGGCATCTCTTCGATCAAGACATGCGCAATGGCGCTGACGGCATAGCCCGCAGCCCAATCCTTATGGATCAACTCTATAAGTTGAACAACTGCAGTTTTTGCCCACTCAAAACACATCAATGGATTGGGTTTTTCACGGGAACATGGCCGAACACCAGCATTTTGACCATTGTTTTTACCATCAAATACTAAGGGAATTTTCAATTACCAAGAAAATTACCATGGTTTTACCATTGTTTTACCATCAAATACCATGGTTTTTACCATTGGTTTGCCCTTCCAATTCTGGAAATAGTCACCTCAATATCGGGCAGCCAAGCGACGGGCACCCAAATGCCAAGAGGATAGCTCTCCCCTTGCCTCGAAGCAATCGAACCAATGGACTTGGAGAAATTCCATCTAAAAGATGTTATCATATAATTAGATGTTATAGAATAATCTACAGAATCTACGTCTTAAGATGTAATTAATTTCTACAGAATCTACATCTTAAGATATAATTTCTGCAGAATCTACGTCTTAAGATGTAATTTCTACAGAAGCTACATCTTAAGATGTAGTTTCTACAGAATCTACATCTTAAGATGTAATTTCTACAGAATTTGCATCTTAAGATGTTATCATATAGTTCGCTTCGGGTGAACGCCTTCCATTGTGCCAGTTCAACACTGGGGCTGGCTGATTCCTACCCAGTTGCTGGTGAGGTGTGCAGGGCAATGATCCCTTCCCTGGGATATAATCCCGCTATGGCGACTGATAGCGACTGAGTAATTGGAAGTGCTCCCCAAAGTATTGAATATGTAGAAATATCTCTACATCCTTTATGTGTGTATACCCATATATGCGCATGTTACTGCCAATACTGGCTATGATCATCTATCATCAGAGCCTACAAGGCTTCCACAGCTAGACACGCAGCCCTTCGGTCCATCAGCAGCCAGATGAAGTCCGTCGTCATTCTTGCGGATTGCGAAGGTATAGCTGTTTTCAAGGTGCAATCCCATCCAAGAAACACTGAATCACCCAGGATCGCGGTGCCACAAGGCGTGTGATCAGGTGTCTGCATTGGTCACTGATGCCTCAATTTTTTGCAGATCTTTGAACTCATCGAAGTCAATGCCTCCAGGTCCACCAGGTTCGAAAAAAATGATCCAATTAATTATCTAACCAATTAGTTTGAATAATTATGCCTTGAATAAAATGTCAAACGCAAAAACCACAGCCGTGTCACCACTTTGCATATGGGATAGCTGAATAATACGCAACCTGAACTTTACCCAGCCGATGGTCGACTCCGGTGATGAATCCAACAGCATTGTGGGGGTTTTGGGGCATTGAACCTTCGCCCATGGGTGAAATGCCCCAAGTTCTTGCTATATCATGCTATACCCTCATGTTTGCCAAATATAACGCAACTAAATTTCGCCAAGTAGATCTTTGCCTTTCATTTTTAATGTCATATCATCAATTACTTGAACATGATTAGTGATTCTACATAGATTCTCTATATATAGATTCTCCGTTCAATCTCACGGTGACGTGGACCAACCATTACAACCACTGGTGAAGGATTCTATCCCTGTGTTTTGTTCCCATATCAGTTGATGGTTTCACATGAAATCTACCACTTCACCATCACATTTTTTCATTGTTAATTTTTCGGTGCAAACTCTTTCCCACAGACTCATGGTACTATATTCCGATCTTCTATATTTCATGTGGATGTAATCATTCCATATTTTTATTCATGGTGCCATCTCCCCATGATTTCCCGTATCCCATTGATGGCTAATCCCCATAGAAAAAATAATGGTGAATCCCCACCTATATCTCCATTGTTGGTGAATCCTCATACGAAAAATGATTATATCCCCGATGATATAAACCCATATCAATTCATGGTGAATCCCCCCCACAAAAATCTCCAAACATATATTGATTGATATATAATTAAAAAAACAATGGTTGGTGAAAGTCCCTCATTGAATATACCCTCTGGTAAACTAACATAACTATGGAAAATCACCATGCTATTAATGGGGAAATCCATTATAAATTGCCATTTTCAATATCTTTTTGTATGTTTACCAGAGGGTATCCCCATGAACCACCAAAAAAAACTCCCAGTGATTGGTGACTTTCCCCAGATTTCGAGCTGCGGATTCTTCAGATTCTTTCGCTCCGCCAGCTCCACCGCTCCAGGGAGGCAGTGATATGACGCGTGGGCCACGGCGACGGCGCTGGCGACCTAGGGACGAAGGGCGCAACGTTTTCCAGGGGAACCAACGTTAAAGCCATGGGAAAACCATGGGAAAACGACAGGAACACAAGGAAACTAACGGTTTAATCATCGGAACATGGTGATTTCATGGCATTTATAGCTGATTTATTGATAGCCATGTGGAGATCGTGGATTCCCAGCCATAGCCATGGTGAATGGGATATGATGGGAATGGTTCATATCCCACCTATGGTCCCTGAAGTCTGGCACCTCCAAGCAGTTACCCTCTGGTGCCATCCGTGGCACGCTGGGAAATCCCCGCAATGGAGGTGTTCAAATGTTTCGTTCGCTGGGCTGGTTGGTGGTTGACCTACCCCTCTGAAAAATATGAAAGTCAAATGGGATTATTGTTCCCAATATATGGAAAAATGTTCCAAACCACCAACCAGTGGGAAAATAATCGAAGTAAATGGAGGATTTCCCAGGCCACGTTTGACAAAACCCGAGGGTACCATGTTTTTTGGACAACGGTAGCCACGTTTGATCAACGAAAACTCTCACCATGGATTCACCGATGATGAACATAGGGACCATTTAGGGACCATTTAGGGACCATACATGACGTGAATGCACCTTAAAATGAGCATGGAACCTGAAACATGTTAAACCATGTTAAACATTATATGGACTTCCAAATCTGATTCTGCCTTTTTTCTGCGTTCCAAGTCAATTTCTCTGGGGGACGCCATACTTATGACTGCATTGATGTACGGAAAATCATCTGCAACAGTCTGAGATCCCATTGTTGATGACTACTGTAACCCGCAATTATCCCTATTGTAATCCCAAACTGTGTATCCTGGGATTCAATCACTCTCACCCTATGAGGTAAACCCAACCATAGACCATAAATGGTTGGGATTCCACCTATTCCCTAATCATGAAAGAAGGGCTTAAACTTTTGGCTAGACTCTAGTTTTTTTTTGATATCCAATGGCAGGGCTATTGCCGAAACACCGTGTGCAAAGCAACGACCAACAAAAAACAGTCGGGAATATCTGGCATCGAAAATTGGGATGTTTTGGGCGGAATCTAGATCTGATTCCTCATGGCACTTACCAAATGGCGCACAAATCAGACATTGACTAAGGCGCGGCAATTGCTGACTTCATCAACCTCTGGATGGTGGAATTGGATGTTGATTATTCGATTCGAGAAAAACCTGCGAACTCAAACCCAGGAACGCTCACACAAAAGCATGTCGCTGGAGAAAACAACAAGCATTGACCCCATCATCGCCACATTCCAAAAACGTTCCAGAACCATAAATCACTTCATTCTCACATGTAAAGTAGCACCCAAAAAGCAGCAGAAAAGTCGAGCCATGGAGAATCCCAATCGATAAAAATTGTGACTTGAAGCTTTTCTGATACCTTTTTGAGTTTTTAACGGCCTCCCCAAATACACGCAGAACAGTTGCAAACCTGAACGCATCAGCTATAAAACACATCCTGGAAACGGTTTTAGGCTTCTTTTCTTGGTCCATGTTCAACCCTAAGAGCTAGGATCCACATTTTAAGCTCCTATTCATTTTATGTAAAACTGTATAGCCGCATAATCCGCGAAATGACTTAGATTTGTGGGTCAAGATCTAGGACTGAAATACCCATTGACATCCCATTAATGTCCAAGACATACATTATGAACATACCGTTAATTAAGATCCTGTCAACAACACATTAAAAGGATGTATATAATATCCAATTTTATTCAGTTCATCATGAATAAAAATACCCTTAGTATAGAATTCATATCCTATTGATCGAAGGAAACTTGGAAGCCAAATTTCTGACAATATGGACATATGAAAAGCAGAGATGGGAAGAGTCAGGGAAGGGAAGAGAAAAAGAAAGAAGATCAAAGAAGAGAAAGTCAGAAGAAAGAAAATCCAGGTGCTGGAAGAGGTAAGAAAGTCGCGAAACACTGTGAAATGATTTATGGCTCCGGAGGGTCGAAAAGTAGGCTCGCTAAAGCGGCGGGTGCGGAGCCACGGGCCAAATGAGAGATGACAAATTGCACGCCATTGTGGTGTGAGACACATTTCGAAGTCAAAATGTACAAAGCACACCATTGTCGGACCACGTTTGGAAGTTGACATGTCGAAAAAGTGCACGCCGTTGTGGCACAAAGCACATTTCCAAGTCAAAATATGAAAAGCACACGATGTTCGGACCACTTTTGGAAGTTGACATGTCGAAAAAGTGCATGCCGTTGTGGCGCGAAGCACATTTAAAAGTCAAAAGCGTTGAACACTGACGGTCTCGGAGCACTCTTGGAAGTTGACATGTCGAAAAAGTGCACACCGTTGTGCTGCCAAGCACATTTCGAAGTCAAAAGTGCAAAAAATTGACGGGTTCGGAGCACTTTTGGACGTTCGGATGTCGTTTTGCATGCCAGGCGCAAGGGATTTTGCACCTTGTCAAAAGTGAGCAAAACGTGAGGGTTTTTGCAGCATTTCCTAAACCGATGGCAGGCGTGGGACATATGGCAAGATGTCTTTCGCGTGGCAGGCGCAGTACAAGAGACACATAAGCTAGATGTGTTAGGAGATCAGGGCGGAGATTTCCTGAGAATGGTTGCATTTTGCAGCATGAGATCTTCAGCTTTGCGAAGATGATTTTGCGTGACAGGTGCGGCACTTCGTATGACCTGGCCTCACTTTTTCGTGGCAGGCGCAATATTTTAGAGACATGGAGTAGAAAAATCACAAAACGCAACGAGGCCGTCAGCTGTGCACACAATTTTCCATTATTGAAGGAAGTCTCGCAGAATTGCTTCGTTTTTGATGTTGCCAACTTCAAAAAATGAGGAAGTCTTGCAGAAGTGCTGAGTTTTGACGTTATCAACTTCAAAAGTTGAGGACGTCTCGCAGAATTGCTTCGTTTTCAAGCTTGCAGATTGCAGATAGACAGATGGATAGGCAACTACAACTACCATTACATTACATTACTACTACAACTACAAACACAAATCAACTACGCTACACTACACTACACTAATTGCACTACACTACACTACTTGCATCTAATTACGCTACACTACACTACACCAATTACACTACAACTACCACAACAACTACTGACACAGCTAGAACAACAATATCGTCTACACTGCGCTAATTACACTGCAGTACGCTACAACTACAAATACAAAGGCAAGTACAACTACACTACATTACACAACACTACACTACACTACACTAATTACATTACATTACGCTACAGCTACAACTACAACTGCAGCTGCAACTACAATTGTAACTACCGCATACTACCGCTACATTGCACTATACGAAGCTACACTAATTACACTACACCACACTACAACTACAACTACACTACCTTACACTACACTACACTAGACTACATTACACTATACCACACTACAGCACACAACACTACAGAACACTACAATACACTACACCAATTACACCACACCACAACTACAACTGCAACTGCAACTACGCTACACTTATTACACATTACAACTACAAATCCACTACACCACACTACAACTACAACTACAACTGCACTACACCACACTACATCCAGCAGTTGTGGGTGAGGTGGCCACTGCAACCTTTGCAACCACTCCAAAAAACACAACTTCAACCACCTTTCGGTCCATCAGTGGATTCGCTCTGCCATCCATGATTCACGACAACCAACCTCTCCTATAGGTTTCCTATTTTTGAAACTTCCGCCACCGCCTTGTGCGGTACGAGTACTACTGGTATAGCATTCATACATATACATATATATATATAGTACCATTCATATCCCATATCCCATCAATGTGGGATCCGCGGCCATAAACCATCCCAATTTCATCAACCATGACTCAGGGCCATTTGACGTCCCATTACTTGGGAGTATACTGAGTTACTGAGTATACCTAATTTTATCGACCCTAGGTGGGGGTCTCTGTGTATTATTAGTTTTACTATGTTTTACTTCTCCCATCTTTTTTCCCTCAAAAATCCCACTAGTCTCTCTCGAAACTGCTGTAGAAACGGACGTACAGGGCTCTGATCCCAGATTTTCATCCAACAAATCCTGCTATATCCCATGAAATGAAACCCCAGTTGGGCGCCAGTTTGCCGATGGTGAATATCGAATCTCACAGGGGATTATCGCAATTTGGTATACTATATTACTACAAGGCGAGGGCCGAGGGCCCACCCAATTATGTTTGTTGGTTTAGGAACCTTTTACGCAGTTCGATACATCTACGATGAACAATGTCTACTTCACCTAGTTATTTATGTTCAGCAACCGAATGCTATCATAAATCAGCGATATCAGCTTTACACCCCATTAAATTACCATTGTCCTGTGTGTTTGGGGACCAAAAATCCCCCGTGTCCACTCCCTGCCGTGTGGCCAGGGCCAGGCACCATGTGCCCAGCATCGGGCGGCGTTACATGGAGAGGCCGCACGTCTCGACCATGGTTTGGGTTGGCGGGTTTAAATGATGTTCCAAACATTTCTAAACCATGGGATTTTTTAAAACCATGGGATGGAACATTTCTAAATTCCATCGTTTTTGGAGAAAACATGGCTTGAATTTTGTTTTTTTGGCAACCTTTGGCTGTATTTTTTCCATCTTGTGGCTGTGAACCAGGCTGGGCTATCAGTGAAGCATCCCCATGTGATCACTGGGCGGACCTACATAGAAAAGGACCTACAAAGGGTTCTAATAAAACAGATCCTATCAGGTCCTATCAACACTTGGATGATAAGACCCTGGCAAATATTTCACACTGCAATGTGCTGTTTCCTGCAGAAACCAAAGCCCATGTTGCAAATTTCATATCACTTTTGGCTCCTCCTGAGACCAGTATCTGTTCGTACTTTCGAGGTCGGTCATGTGACATCTGTTTGTGCTGGATTCATGGCCGATCCCCCTAGCGTCAGGTGTGGAAGCGTTGCATCACTGGACACACTGCGACCGCGTCCTTTTCTCTTGCGTGGCGTGTCGCAAGCGTCACGGGATTTGGGGTTGCAGAGTGTGGCGGGCTCAGCCGCTCATGTTTGCAGATGGCCACGCTTCAGCATTGATACTGACATGGCAGGGTTTTATCTGCCAAGAATTGTTGGATGTTTGCGGGATAAAGGAACTCAAATATCATCCCCCATTAAATTCCCCCACGTGGGTCCTCAGAATAGATCCAGTAGACACTTCGGTCATGATCTATCTGCTGAAAACGGGTGTTTTGAATGGACCAGACAGAACTTCCAAAGCACCCCCCAGAAAGATCAAACAATTCATCAGAATCATAACAACAATTAGTAGGGGCTCACTTTTCTATCTTCTTGGGGACCGCTATAGATGATTTTCCTAAACTGGTGAGATTTCTGTGGCCCTTTCATGCCTTGATCAATGGAATCAACATCTGAAGCCTGCAGCCATCGGCAAACTTTCACCAGGCGCACCCGCATCTCCAACAGCCCGCAACGTGCCCGTGCGCTGCGACTCGCACGATGCCGATGTGGATCTAGGAAAGCCTTGGAGTCATCGAAAGGGGTGAAGGGAAAGCACATTCTCTGTTTGAAAAGGAAAATGAATCATGATAAACTTGATGTCCATTGATTCTTGATGAACATGATGGTTGGTTTTGACCTTACAGTTGTGATCAGTCATCAGTCGAACCCATTTATGGTCAGGGTTTATGGCATTGACTTTACCCATCATAATGTTTTGGATGATGATCAAAGCAATGATGATCTGGTTTTGCTGAAGGTCTTTGTCTTTTCCCTGATGGGAAGCCACAAAAAATAATGGGGTATGTAAAGAGGACATCTTATTATACTTCTTATTGTGCTTAAAAACGTAGATGCCAAATGATGATAGCACGTGGGCGCAGTTAAGGTTACACATGAGTATAACCATGGTTGTAGACCCCCACAAGCTGGGATACAATCCCTGCAAGTATATAAATAAATATAAATAAATATATATATATATAACTATGGTGATATATCTGCTGATAACCGGAACTGCACTACCAAGTAGTAACAATGAACGTTTCCATTACGGGTCAGCACCAGGCTTCCCTAGGTCCCGCCAGAAAACCATTGATCCAGCTTGGCCTTGTCGACGCCCTCCATCTTGCCTGTGATTTTGCCACCCTGCAGCATTGAGAGTTCCAGAGTTCAAATCAGAGTCTTGTTGATTATTTAATTTTTATTTAGCAAACCCCAAGTCGTGGTAAAGAGCCAAATAAGTAGAATCAAATATTGCTACCTTCTTTACCTTCTGGTTTGGGCCAAAATTCTTATGATAGCATCATTTTGCTATCCCGCATCATTCGTCATATTTTGTTTCCTTCAACTCCACCTCAACTTTGCATTGTTGGCCCCGTCCAATCTGATTGTTCCAAACAATTGGGCACACCCCAAATCCATCCGATTCCACTGGTTCATCTTCATCTGAAACAAATTAAGGTATGCTGCCATGCTCCATTTCACCTTCCACTGACTGGCACATCACCCTGTTTCCTGAACCGCACCAAAAAAACGCTTGAGGTTTGTTTCCCTTACAAACCGTCATAACCATGGCAAAGTCAGCGTCATCCAGTCCCATGGTTTCAACTTTGCCTCCACGAGCGCCAGGGTTGGCATGCAATTGACATCATGTGCTTCGCAGACTTTACCGCAGGCTGCATTATCGACATCAACGATTCCTGGGACTGGAGGCTCTCTAAGAATCTGACCTGCCTGCGAAATAAATGGAAGATTCATTTAGAAATGAGGCTTCATTAAAACAAACAGCTAAGGTGATAAATGGGGGCACATGGGTACTCCTTGGCAATACAATGGAGTTGACGAAAAATCATCTGGTAACTGTCCCTAACCTCGTAGTATAATGCATATGTTGCCGCTTCAACCTCGATTGTTGGCCAACTTTAAAACCCATCCCAGGCTGAATCCCACATTAGACAAAGGCCACAGAAAAGTACTGGAGGCCAGCTGCGGGTCAAGGAAACTCATTTAATGTGGGTAAAACAATGCCATAAACCATCCCCCAAATCACCATTTTTATAGGGATATAAGACATTCCCAAATGGGTGGCTTATGGCATTGTTTTACCCACATCAATCTCATTTTTTTAGGATTGAAAATCATCGAAATGAGGATTCTCCACCTGAAAATCATCGAAATGAGGATTCTCCACCAAGTGAGGACTGTGGGAATGTGGCCCGCCAAAGGCAAAGGGGAGAGGATGGTTGAGAAGTGAATCTCCAGCTGCTTTGAAGCATTTGGAATGACGAGTGTTTTATGGTCTGCCGGCAGGCTTTTCATAGGATCGGGATTTTGCAATTTTTAAACTCAAATCCCAGCTGTTTTCCTGCAACTCTTATAGTAACACACGTAGATTGTTAGTAAGGGAGTTGTCAAAACCCCAAGGGATTTATATACTCCAATTACGAACCACTTAGCTAATTCAAATTCTAAAAATATTTGAGAAGCATTTGCTCTCCACAACTAGACGACGGATGGCCCGAGAGCGTAGAGGAGCGTGTAAGTATGAAGATCTTATAGCACGAAGCGGAAATATAGAAATATACGGCGATGCCTAAAATGAAGAGACATGGTGCAGACATGATGTGAACAGTGGGTGCGTATGAAGAAATTGAAGCAGAAATAAAAGAAAGATGAAACGAAGGAGACACAGGAAGAAGAATTGAGACAGACATTTTTACATACAAGCATGCTCATACATACAAACATGCCTCACACACACAACTGTGCTTTTACACAAAGACTGCATCACACACACACATACGCTTTTACATACATACGTTATACGCACAAACACTTTTACACACAGAGTCGCTTTTACACATAAAGCCATTTTAGACACACAGTTTTTTTTTGACACACACGCACAGACTCCTTTACACATAAACCGTCTTATACTATATACACAGACACACCTCTACGCACAATCCCCTTTTGCACACAAACACTTTTACACGCAAACGCTTTTGCACACAAACGCTTTTTACACACAGACACGGTTACACGCAAACACGTTGGCAGAAGGACGTTGCAGTGGGCTGGCAGCTCACATGATTCTCACTTGACTCTCACTAGGCCAATGCTGTGAGTATGTGAATGTGTGAGGATGTGAAGATGCCACGTGAAGATGTATAGCAGACCTCCACTTTAGGAAAAACCCTCGCTCAAACGCTCTCGGGAACAAAATTTCCATTTGCGGATGACTTTCCCACTAAAACCCATTTGACACCTACATTTTCAGGGGGAAAGCCCAGCCCCCCATGCTGCCCATGCTGATGACAGCCGATTCCCGAGCGTCTCAGCAGGACATTCGTTTTCTCCGCAGCCATCTGTTCGAAGACTGGTTTGAACTTTTTGCAAGGCGGTCACCATCCTGCAGATTTCACCAGAGATAAGTTGGGCAAATCTGTCTGTTGATTCCTCTTTTTTTGCATATGCGTAAATGTCTAAAAATGGATGTATATATATATAATCTGCGCATAAATAACAAATATATACATATGCTCACCCATATGTACCTCCATCTGTACACATATCATATATATATATATCACCCATTCTATCCCCATTAAAAAAAACAATTAGTACAACGTGATCCCTGAAGGGGAGAAACTTCAAAGAACTGCTTTGCCAGTCTGGAGCTTCTGGCACCGGTCCTTATCCACCCCGAGTTTTTCTTTTCCAGAGTTTGTCGTTTAGCATTTCGAATATTTTCAATAGTCAAGACCTTGTTCATTTGAAAAATGTTTGTTTCCAAAATCTTCTTAAACAAGCACTCCTCGTGCAAAGCACATAGCAGCTATAGCATTCCTTTCAACAGGTTGAGCGCACTCTCATTTGGAAACCTGGTATTCCTGTAAGGGAGTGATCTTGCAAGATCTGTCCCCTCTACAGTTCCATATCCATGTGCAACAGGCAGATAATTCGCGAATGGGTAATTCTTCATGGCCACGTTGAATATCCCCAGGGTATATAAATCCTCATTCATAGATAATTATGCTCTATCAGTTTATGGTTCACCCCGTTTGCGGATGGTAAAGTTAGACGCCACCACGTAGCCACAACCAACCCACTCTGCCTGCAGAGAACATGATCACCACCTTGCCTGCAGATTTAACAAGAGTCCCATGCCCCAGGTTGGCACAGCCGAAAATCATCATCATGGGGTACTACCTCCAATCAACCGTGGTCTATTGAAATTCACGACACCGGCCATGTGGGGATGACTTTGGGCGGAAAATCTATGGTAACCTATGGTAGTCTATGGTAGTAGATGGTAACCTATGGTAGTCTATGGTAACCTATAGGAAATCCATTTCAGGTAACCTATATGGTAGTCTAACCTGGTTGAGAAAGGACTACTGAATGGGACGAGGATCTATCCACTCATGGATATGTTGATCCAGGATTTTGTAGCTGCGAAGCCAGGTTTCATCTCGTTGCAATGGTTAAATTCGGTGCCTTCTGTTCGTAGCCAAGTGCACCCTTGGTTACATTCAGTGACACCCCAGGCGAAAACCTACATTCGATTCTGTTAAACTGTGGGATTTGCTCGCAGAAACACAAAAAACAACAATGAAAATTGGATGGTTCAGTTGCCCTCTGGTAGTTTCATGGTTTCTGTGGAAGCCAGGGCCCAGAATTACATACTAGTTCGATGATTTTCCCAACTCAAACATGTAATTAAATATATTAACTATAGATAATTAAACTAGATATATTTGAACATGGTGATTTTCCATAACAAACTGTTCGTTTACAATGGACATGAACTGACCTTCAACGGCGATCCAAGTTGCCGGGGGCGTTCTTAACCAGCTCTTCATACCTTGGGCGGGCTGCCCGGTACCCAGGGGTACCCCAAATCACGGTACCCTCTGGTAAACTAACATAACTATGGAAAATCACCGTTTTCAATGGGAAAATCCACTATAAAGGGTCATTTTCAATAGCTATGTTAAATTACAGGGTAATCCTACTGAAAGGCAATTTCACGACAAACCGCGGGAAAACTCCCAAGAATTCCCAAAAAACACATAATTGATACTAAAACCCGCTGTTCCAGGAAGTCATTATAGGTACTAGATCACGCATCAAGCGGCTCAAGCTTACGAATCATCCCCCAAACCAGCTTAACATTCGACCTGAGGGGGTCGCTGGACATTTCTCACACTAAGCCAGGTGAAAATCTCAATCTTTCCCATCCCCAAATAGTTTCCAGTTCGACGATTTCCTTGAGACGTTCTCAACCAAAACTTGGCGGTTTCCACCTTTTTCCCATACCGTCCTAAATATTTTCCCATCCTTTCCATGAAGCTTTTTCCATGTCCCAGAAAAAAATAGGGGAACATCATGAAACTGGTTGGTGGTTTCAACCTACCCCTCTGAAAAATTGTGACTTCGTCAGTTGGGATCATGACATTCCCGACTGAATGGAAAGTCATAAAAGCCATGTTCCAAGCCACCAGGGAACATCTCCCAGCTCACCAGCTTCAGAAGGGGTTGTCTGAATTCCACCGGGACACTCTGCCTGGGTCTTCAACTCCGCCATGTCTCGGCCGATGTAAACTCGCGCGATGCGGAAACCGTGCGGTTCTGGACGGCGTCCGTGAAACAGCTGCGGTTGTGGCCACGGCTTCCCAAGTTCGAGAAGGAACTGTTGGCAAACATAACTAGGCTCATGGATGGAATTATGGTGGAGAAACATGGATATATACATTATGATTATGATATCATGTTTTTTTCTGAAAAATGGCTTTATAGACTCAGGGGACCCACCGGTTGCTAGAGATTGTTTCTGTTTCTTCCATCCGGATGGGAAACCACTCCATTTTCACTAGCAAATCATTGGAATACATGGTGGGTGGTCAGTCCTCAGTGCGTGTTTCTGATGAAACTCTCTGGAAATCAAATACGGCAATGGAAAATCCTCCATTTAAAAGATGAAAACTCCCAGTTCTGGGATTTTCCATTTACCCTCTGGTAAACTAACACAACTATGGAAATTGGTTCATTTATAGTGGATTTTCCCATTAAAATTGTGATTTTCCATAGTTTTTTGTATGTTTACCAGCTAGATCCCGCTAGCCATGATAACTGGAGGGCCGAACTTCACCAGGTAACATGGCAGCTGGAGGGTGTGCTGCTGCCATCGCCGGTGGAGTTGATAAAGTTCGTCAGGCGTTGAGGTTCTGAGACGTACTTCAGGAAGGATTTGCCTTGCTGGTTGCTGGTTTCAACCATCTTGAAAAATATTAGTCAATGGGAAGGATTATCCATGATTATCCCATATATTATGGAAAATAAAAAATGTTCCAAACCACCAATCAGCTTGGATATCGATGGGATATCGATGGGAGCGAAGCCATGGCCATGGCGGCCATGATTATCATGATTGTGAAGCCGTAAGGAGGATCCCGCGGCCAAATTCGACACGACTACCATCCAATGGGCGATTCGCAAAATATGGTGGAATTTTACTGGTGGATATTACTGGTCAAATCCGGGAACTGATTCCACTACATCGATTGAACATATGCAGTAAAATTAAGGTAGCAACTCAAGTCATGAAAGAAACATCAAGGGGGAGTTGAGCCAAACATAGCGGACCAGCCACAAAGAGTGTTGGAGGGATCTGTTGGGGTAAGTTGGAACAGAACCAACCAATCCAAAAGAGAAGCATCAGCATGAGGGACATATCTTGATTGAGCCAAAAAACAGGATGTACACGTCAACAGCTAAGGGATGGAAGTAGATTTACTTGGAGAACACATTCTTCTGGCAACACATCATTGATGAGTCAGCAAATACCGTCAGCTCATCACAGCGTGTGTTTTCTTGGGTGGGACACGGCGATTTCATCAACTAAATTGAATCAGTCGTGCCGCATGAGCCAATGCCAAACCATGCCAAACCACTGTGAACCAGCCCCCGCCCAAAGGTTAGTAGCCCAGGTACCGGCCAAATCTTCCTCTCCTAACCTCAAGTGGCAGCTCTCTGGTGCCGGGGCCACCAAGAAGATGAATACGCACTAGGATCGACATGATTGAAATGACTAGGATCCAGGTCCTAAAATACATCGCTATTTGCAACTTCCAACATACAATTTCTTCATCCATGCCCTTTTACTGTCAGTTTCTATTGCCTGCCCCATCACGCGGCCCTTTTCTAAACTTGGTATCCCCACAACATCCCTACAACATCATTTCATTTTGCTTCGCCTATTCATTTGCACTGATGAATGCACCTCTTCCAATTTGTTTGGTTAACTCCTAATTTCGGTTGATTCAATCCCTATGTCAGTTGCTTGAAACCACATGTTTTCATTGCCCATGCCGAATAAACATCCAAGTTCTGGCTGAAAGGTCCATGTGCTAAGATTCCTGGATGATTGACTACACCAACATTTGCCAAAATGTTTAGGTGCTTCCGGTTGATTCGGTCTTGTTCAAGCAATCATTGGCTAAATTCAAGTTTTTGTCTGGAAAAAATAGGCCTACCCCTTATTTTTTTGGATGGTTTATCATCACTTTGCACTGAATAACCTGGTGATTTTGAAGGGTTTACATCACATTTTCAATCAATTTCAGCCATTTCATGGGCCACTCCTCGGCAACATCGCAACGGGGCCAAAAAACAGATGTATCAATGAGGCCGGGGGTTTCAGGATGGACAGCTCCTCGGACAAACCTGAGAATCCAAGGGAGGGTCCATGATGGTTAATATATCCTCTGGTTATTTAACGTAGCTATGGAAAATTGCCCGATGATTTATGATGATTTACTTCTTAAACATGGTGATTTCCCATAGCTACGTTAAATAACCAGAGGATAATTTGTTATCATAATTTTCATAGTATAATCAGCCATGAGTACCATCATGGAATGATGGAGCCATGATGTATCATAATTGTGGCGAATGGGATCTAATTGTGATATAACCCTAAGTGGCTACCATTTATTATCATAGAAATCACATCAGGTTGAAAAAATCAACAGAAAATCTGGATAGAAACCTCAACAGCAATTGGGGTTAACGATGGTTAATGGGATAATGACTGATAATGATGATAATCTCAATGGACACTATTGATAAAATGCATGTTATACAACAGAAATCACAGGGTTTGATGATGGGATCATATGGGATCTAAAGCGTGAAAAAAAGGGCCAGGGGATTTCAAGAAATGTCATGGGATACAATTGGACAATGATGATCACGTAAAATGGGGATATAGCACCAGCAGGAATGCGAAATTAACCAACAGCAATGGCAACATTTTCAGCTGGCCAAACCTTGGTAAAGACTGGTTTTGAAAACACTCACAAAGTGAAAACTGCCATTGTGTTTGCCACCCAGTCTTAGATGCCATGCAAAAACATGGTTCTGTACTGTTTTAGTAGATATTCCGAATGTTCCCATCAAAATGGCAAAAGGAGGTTGAAATACTCAAGTAGCTAGCCAAATTGTTTACCCACGGGACACAGCCCATTTACAAATGTCATCAAATGCCAAACCAATGGATCACAATCCTATCCCAATCGTGAATCTCAATTCTTAAATCCATTCAAAAGTCCAAAAAACTAAAAAATAAACCGATCCTTCGTGGGATTCACAAAGGTTTTTTTTGAAGCCAAACAACCAACAACCGTCAGTCGCCGCCATTCCGACCTGGCGACAACGAGGCACTGACGCAAGCATCACAAGTGACCGTCAGCAAACGCTTTGCAGCATCGCCCAGGGACAAGGTCTCTTGGATACCTGGAATGGATGGGCTTGAGGAGATTTCCCAGGAAGAGATTTACCATCCATAGAAAAAACAGATCCTTCTCTGGTTGGTGGTTGAGCCTACCCCTCTGAAAAATATGAAAGTCAGTTGGGATGATTATGAACCATATATATATGGAAACATGAAAATCATGTTCCAAACCACCAACCAGTTCTGAATGGTTTTTCTCCCAATGATTTTGGGGATTTGCTATAGGCAGATATAGGCAGCATCTTTTTTGGGTGCGAAAAAGATGGCTTTTTGTCTGAAAGGAGGCCGTAAATTCATTGCTTAATCATCATCCTCCCACATGAAGATGGTGTATGGAGAGGAACTTGGGAATTGTTGACCCCATGCAGTTGAAAAAAATGTTTACACCACGTGGGACATATACATATACATATATGTACATGGGCATAGATATAGATAGACTAAAATGGATGGGTAGATATCTTGGTTGCTATGTCTATACGGGGATATGAAGCTATAAACCCACAAGTGACATGGGTTTATCGCCCCAGTTCCTCACGTATTTCACCAGGGGGATTAGTTACCTTTAGCTCCAACATGGCTGCAACTTATCCCCGAACAAGCCCTGGGCGATTCTCCAGCCATGTGGGACCGGAGAGGTATAGCCATAGCAAAACGTCAGCTGCTTGGTAAATATCACCAAACACTATCACCCCCCTGAGTTACTGATGGTAAACATTCAAATCTTATCCAAATCAATCCCCTTCCCATGACTTTTTATTTTAAAATCAGGTATGTGCTAATTTAATAGATTGTTGGTGAAATCTTCATTTTAATACTCACAATCAACGCAAACATGTTGGTTGCTGATAAAATCCATACTTTTTCAGTTAATATCTATATATATATATATACATATACTCTCTGGTTATTTAACATAGCCATGGAAAATCACAATTTTTAATAGGTAAACCATCTATTTCTATGGGCCATCTATACCATGGCTATGATGTCCACCACTTCTGCCCCAGAGATCCCCATTTTGCCATCGCACTGGTCTCTGCCCTGATGGATGCCGCGATTTGGTGGTACAAACTGCCTTGCCTCGGGAGCGAAGGGTTGGCGATCCATTACCACAGTTGACCTATGGGGGTTTCCATAAATGGGTACCTCAATGGATTGGTTTAAGGGAAAATTTACAGGAAAGCCCCATATTTAATGGGAAAATCTATGGTTTCCTGTAGATTTTCCCTTAAACCAATCCATTGAGTACCAATAGCTGGATGGTTTATTTCATGGAAAATCCTATGAATAAACAGATGATAACTAGGGGTAAGAGAGGTAACTGAAACCTCCATATGTTGATATGGTACTGTTTTTTTGATACCACATGATACCACAGTTGGTATCAAGTGTGAAAACTAGCTGAGTTGTCTTCTATTGGTAATCTGGTGATGTAATTCACTAACAAACATGCTGTATTGTTACCTATTGCCTATTGGTCATATAATTAAATACAACTATCAACACTCATAGGTAACCCGTTCCCTAATATTTGTGGCCAGCACCAGCTGCACTCAGAATCGATTATGAATTTAAAAAATGCTATAAGATTAATTAACATTAATTAACATGGCTAACCCCTTCGCCTAATATTTGTGGCCAGCACCACTCGGATTCGACAGAAGGTGCAACTGTGATCGACCACAAAGAAACATATTGCCATGGTCGAAACATGGGTGGATTCCATGGATTCTGGCGATTGGGAATCAGACATAATGGGTATGTAACTCTTTATTAATGGATGGATGACAATGTTTCGATTGATGTTAAACATCATTAATCTTTATTTAATCTTTATGAATAATGGATTGATGACCATTCCCCGACTGGGAAGACAAACCATATTTTGACGCACATGTGATCTTTTTGACATCGGGATTCACAGGGCTGCGGGGATGTGATGGAAATTGCCTGGCATGAGTTTTTCCATTTCAAACTCTTGCTCTCACTTCTTGAGACTGCATTTTTTTCGCGTTTTAAACCCAACAAAATTACAGGGGCTTGACTATTCCCATAGCAAGTGCGGGGACTCATCAACAGCACACCAATCCCTGAATTGGATGAACCCATTCTTTTCAGTTTACTGGTCTTCAAATGCAAAATCAAGCATGCAAAAATTGTCAAACAGTGAAGACAACATGGAAGAAATCTCTTTGGATTTCCCGTACTTTGTCGGTTCTATTCCCATTTCTGTTGCTAGGATGTGCTTGGGAACTCTTAGTAGTTCATCTTCTCTTCATTCAATAGGGAATATGGATACCCCTAGCTCCTTAGCTACTTCACAACCACCCGATGCAAAAACGGGAATATGGACACAACATTGCTCCTAACCGCTCCCTCCATACATCTTCCATAGCTTCTAGATACATCTAGATACCAAACCCATTCAATAAATTGACTTAAGTAACACCCTCCATAACAGAAAAGTGCTGTATCACTATTTAAGTAGGATTTTACATTCAACAATCTCTTTGGGCGTTGCTATATATATATATACATATTCCTTTTTAAATTGCCCACATGTTCCATCATTTCCCCGACAAAAAATCAGCAGCCAAGGAGCTGCTTGTAATGGGCCAACACCAAGCCACCGAGCATTACCACTTCGCTCAAGAACAGCTCCACAAATTCCTGTCGGCTGGTTACCTGCCCGGCGCTTGCTGGAAGTTGACAAAAGCTAAACATCTGGGAAAATGATGGAGAATGGGGAGTTTTTACAAAATCCAGCAAAAGCAACATGGGTAAATGATAACTTAACCCAACAAAAATAGGACTTGTGAAATTTATCTGGCAAAAATGGGATTTGATCATCAATACCTGGGATGTAACTTAACGGTATCCACAAGGAGGATATAGATGGATATTATGATGGCCAACATCGGATTCGGAAACTTCAGCGGCGGATTCGGAAACTCCCAGGCCCTCGGATTCGGAAACTTGCCGTCCCTCGGATTCGGAAACTTCAGCGTCGGATTCGGAAACTTCCAGGCCCTCGGATTCGGAAACTCGCTACCCCTCGGATTCGGAAACTCCCAGGCCCTCGGATTCGGAAACTTCGAGGCCCTCGGATTCGGAAACTCCTAGGCCCTCGGATTCGGAAACTTGCCGATCCCCCCGGATTCGGAAACTTCAGCGTCGGATTCGGAAACTTCCAGGCCCTCGGATTCGGAAACTTGCCTAACCCCCCGGATTCGGAAACTTCAACGTCGGATTCGGAAACTTCCAGGTGCTCGGATTCGGAAACTTGCCTTTCCCCCCGGATTCGGAAACTTCAACGTCGGATTCGGAAACTTCCAGGCCCTCGGATTCGGAAACGTTGTCACCGACAAACTGCATCATCGATAAATATTAGTATATTATTGGATTCTTGGATGATCAACCGTTCGGATGGCATCAATAAGTATACATACCTAAGGATCCATGTATGGAATATTTACCTACATTGGGATTATTTTAAATTACTTTAGGGGTCAATGTAGGTAAATATTCCATACATGGATCCTCTGGGATAGGAGATCAGTTTACATAGAAGATCAGTCCGAAGAACTATAGGAAGGGTTGGTTGTTGTGACTCACGGATTGCATGGCGAATCTACTGATGGACCAAAAGGTGGTTGCAGTCGTGTTTTCTGGAGTGGTTGCAATGGTTGCAGTTGTCACCTTACCACAACTGCTGGATGGCGCATGGTGTAGCGCAGTTGCAGCTGTAGTTGTACGTGTAGCTGTAGTTGTAGTTGAGTTCTAGTTGTAAGTTGTAGTTGTAATATGTTGTAATGTCATGTAATTAGTGTGGCGCAGTTGCAGTTGCAGTTGTGGTGTGGTGTAATTAGTGTAGTGTATGTGTAGTGTAGTGTACTGTAGTATTGCGTACTGCGTAGTCTAGCGTATTGTGTTGTAAAGTAGTGTTGTCGTAGTTGTAATGTAATGTCGTGTAGCGTAATGTAGTGGTATTTGCAGTGGTAGCGTAATGTAATGAAATTAGCGTAGTGTAGCGTAATGTAGTGAAGTTTGTAGTGAGTTGTACTGCATTTAGTGTAGTGTAGCGTAATTAGATGTCATTGGTGAAGTGTAGTGTAATTACTGTAGTGTAGTAGTGTAGCGTAATTAGATGCAATTGGTGTAGTGTAATGTAATTAGTGTTGTGTCATGCAGCGTACTAAAGTGGTACTCGTAGTGTAGTGGTACTTGTAGTTGTAGCTGTCTATCTATCTTTTGATCTATCCATCGAAGTTATTCTGCGAGACTTCCTCAATTTATTAAACTGTTGACTTGGAAATGTGCTTCGTGCCACAACGGCGTGCAGTTATTCAGGTCTCATCTGGCCAGCTGGCGCCGCACCGGCCGCTTTAGTGAGCCGACTGTCCGAATCTCCGGAGTCACAAATTATTGGAAACACGCAATCGTGACAAGAACTCTAAGAAAGGGAGGGATTTGCATTGAGGAATACCATTGCATGTAGGGCTTTGGGGGGGGAAGTTTAGAAAATGATTTGCAATCGTGACAAGAACTCTATGAAAGGGAAGGGTGTGCATTCAGGAATACCATTGCATATAGGGCTTGGGGGGGGGAAGTTTTGTAGGGCTTTGGGGGGGAAGTTTAGAAAATGACTTGCAATCGTGAAAAGAACTCTATGAAAGGGAAGGATGTGCATTCAGGAATACCATTGCATGTAGGGCTTTGGGGGGGGGGAAGTTTAAGAAAGGACTTGCAATCGTGACAAGAACTCTTTGAAAGGGAAGGCTTTGCATTCAGGACTACAAGTGCATGTAGGGTTTTGGGGGGGGAAGTTTAGAAAATGACTTGCAATCGTGAAAAGAACTCTATGAACGGGAAGGATGTGCATTCAGGAATACCATTGCATGTAGGGCTTTGGGGGGGGAAGTTTAAGAAAGGACTTGCAATCAGGACAAGAACTCTTTGAAAGGGAAGGCTTTGCATTCAGGACTACAAGTGCATGTAGGGTTTTGGGGGGGGAAGTTTAGAAAATGACTTGCAATCGTGACAAGAACTCTATGAAAGGGAAGGATGTGCATTCAGGAATACCATTGCATGTAGGGCTTTGGGGGGGGAAGTTTAAGAAAGGACTTGCAATCGTGACAAGAACTCTTTGAAAGGGAAGGATTTGCATTCAGGACTACTATTGCATGTAGGGTTTTGGGGGAAGAAGTTTAGAAAATGACTTGCAATCGTGAAAAGAACTCTATGAACGGGAAGGATGTGCATTCAGGAATACCATTGCATGTAGGGCTTTGGGGGGGGAAGTTTAAGAAATGACTTGCAATCGTGACAAGAACTCTTTGAAAGGGAAGGATTTGCATTCAGGACTACTATTGCATGTAGGGTTTTGGGGGGGGAAGTTTAGAAAATGATTTGCAATCGTGACAAGAACTCTATGAAAGGGAAGGGTGTGCATTCAGGAATACCATTGCATGTAGGGCTTTAGGGGGGGGAAGTTTAGAAAATGAATTGCAATCGTGACAAGAACTCTATGAAAGGGAGGGATTTGCATTGAGGAATACCATTGACCATTGCATGTAGGGCTTTGGGGGCGAAGTTTAGATAATGACATGCAATCGTGACAAGAACTCTATGAAAGGGAGGGATTTGCATTGAGGAATACCATTGCATGTAGGCCTTTGGGGGAGGAAGTTTGGAAAATGATTAGCAATCGTGACAAGAACTCTATGATCAGGAATACCATTGCATGTAGGGTTTTGGGGGGGGAAGTTTAGAAAATGACTAGCCATCGTGACCAGAACTCTATGAAAGGGAGGGATTGGCATTAAGGAATACCATTGCATGTAGGGCTTTCGGGGGGAAGTTTAGAAAAGGATGATTTGCAATCGTGACAAGAACTCTATGGAGTTTCTGAATCGGGGCAACCTGGAGTTTCTGAATCGGGACACGTATAGTCTGCATCGGGAGAGAGTGGAGTTGCTGAATCGGGCCGGCCCGGAGTTTCTGCATCGGGAGAGAGTGGAGTTGCTGAATCGGGTCGGCCCGGAGTTTCTGAATCGGGAGAGAGTGGAGTTTCTGAATCGGGGCAACCTGGAGTTTCTGAATCGGGTCGATCCGGAGTTTCTGAATCGGGGCAACCCGGAGTTTCTGAATCGGGACACGCTGGAGTTTCTGAATCGGGGCAACCCGGAGTTTCTGAATCGGGGCACCCTGGAGTTGCTGAATCGGGTCGTTCCGGAGTTTCTGAATCGGGGCAACCCGGAGTTTCTGAATCGGGGCAACCTGGAGTTTCTGAATCGGGGCAACCCGGAGTTTCTGAATCGGGGCACCCTGGAGTTTCTGAATCGGGGCAACCTGGAGTTTCTGAATCGGGGCAACCTGGAGTTTCTGAATCGGGGCAACCTGGAGTTTCTGAATCGGGGCAACCTGGAGTTTCTGAATCGGGGCAACCTGGAGTTTCTGAATCGTGACAACCAGGAGTTTCTTGAATCCTTGGAGTTTCTGAATCGGAGTTTCTGAATCGGGGAAAGTTTCTGAATCGCAATATATCCATATTATGATAATAACAATCAAAATTCAAAACAAAACACAATTGGTGACCACCCAAGGCTTCTTGAGGGCTTAGTAACCACCAACACCAGCAACCACTTATAAGAGCTTGCTAACATGAACTGATGATTGAACATGCGCAGTGAAATGGGCGAACTTCGTTCAATTTTGGGACAATTGGATTGATTTTCCACGGGAATGTTGATTTGAATAAGCCCTACTAGCTATAGATGCTATAGATGTCTGTTAAAAATCCTAGGTCCTAGCTATTTCAGCGATCTTCAGCAACTTTCTCGGGGGCCGCGCCAAAACTCTCCATGTCGCCGGCGAGGGGCCGATTCTCGGTGACACGAGTCCGCCAGAAAACCTTGCCACGGTTGAGGGTATTGGAGGGTATATTTTTTGGAACATAGCTACGCAAGATGGGAAATACTGGGAATTCAATGGGCATATTGCGGGAAATGCCCTCTGGTCGCATAGCTATTGCAAATTGGCTCATTTAGCTCCACGATTTACCCATTAAACATTGTGATTTTTCATAGCTCGTTCTTCATGTTGAAACTGGCGGGGATGAATGAAGCGCGGCGAACTGTGGATGTCCACACCGGAAAGATTGCTTGCCAACAGAAAAGTTGCCTCTTGGTATCTTCCAAACATATGGCCGATCTTAGATACCCTTCGGTAAACTAACATGGCTATTTGAAATGGCCCATTTATAGTTATATAATTTACCTACAAAAAGTGGCGATTTTCCATAGTTCCGAGTATGTTATTTAGATTTACCTACTACAAAAAGTGGTGATTTTCCATAGTTTTTTGTATGTTTACCAGAGGCTATCGTGCCAAAAAAAAAGTGATTTTTTGAGGCGGTGTAATCCATCTCCACCATTTGTAGATTCGTGGTTCAGAAACGCCTGAAACATCATTTCATAGATTTTCGCACTTTCGACTATGGACTATATCATATTTTAATATCCTAGTTCTAAGTATAGTATTAAATTTTCAATCCCATTCGCTTGGTTGAAAATAGTTTCTTTGGATTATGTTATAAACTGGTTGGTGGTTTGAATCCATCCGAAAAATATTAGTCAATGGGGAGGATTATCACATATATATCGGGGTTACCATTACCCAGGGTAACCTGTGCCCCAGGTTTTGTAGATACAAATCTGACTTTAGAACACAAAACTACAAAAGTAGAGTCAGTCAGGAAAAAAACCTACAGAAGAATGTCCCGCTTACAAAATTTGTTCCTACAAAAGTCTCAGGGTTTTACAACCTATGTTTTTTTTTGGAAATAGCCTTAAATTTCCATAATACTTTTGTAGGGCCTTGTTCACATGTTGGTTGGTAACTTCTGTAGTGAAATTTAAGGTTCTTTTTCTGGATGGTCCAAGGGCACAGGATATTTCTGTAGTGAATCTGGGGTTGATTTATTCCTTAAAAAAATAAACAACACTCCCATTCCCCCAAGATTTCGCAAGTTTCTTTTTCACGGTCTTCGCGATGGATTGTTTCTCGTCATTTTTCTGCATAGCTGGGCTATGTACCAAGACGATGCAAGACGATCCTACAGGATCCTACAGGCCCTTGCTTTTGTCTACCCCTAACAAAAAATATATATAAATGTATATAAATATAAATAAATATATGAAAATTCAATAAAAATCATGGTAATTCTTGGATAATTATTCTTGGGAAATGTGTTTGCATATGTTTGCATGATGTTAACTGAACATAATTTCCGTAGATTTGCAAGGCCTTTGTGAAAACTTAGATTGGAACAGTTGTGCATCAATGGATAAGCAAGCAGGATAACCCGGGGGATTGACGCTAAGCCTAGTAGTACTACAAAACAGTCTGCAGCTACAGTTTTTTGGGGCACAGCATACCTACAAATTGCTTTTGGCCACAATTTATCCATTACAAAAGACTCTTGGTTTTCCCAGTAGGTCCATTTAAGGATTCATACAATTTGAACAGTTTTGGTGGACCAGGCAGGAATGCCTACAAAGGTATCGCTCTACTACAAAAACCGGGTACACACCAAAGTGATCCTTACAAAATGGAGCCTTACAAAACCTTTTGTAGGGGTCACATGATACCGGCTTTGGTAGACAAAATGGTATCCCCGATACATATATTGTGGAAAATAAAATATGTTTGAAACCACCAACCAGTAAAACACTTCCGGGTCACGCAAGGTCCAACGCTCCAAGGAACCAGGCTCCAAGGCAAATTGCATCAGCAAGGCCTCGCTGAAGTTGGTTTAGTGTAACACCCCGTTAACCATAAATATGATATGTATCATAAACCGGAGTTAATCCATATAATTAGCTGTTGGTGAACTATAGGATACTATAGGTATATGTCATAAACCATAGGTATTGGAGTTGCAAGTGGGCATACTAACACTAAAGGGGTCATTTTATCAATGCACCTGAGATCTGACGTTTCCACTTCCCGGTGAGATGAACATGAGAAATATTCAAAAGCCAGTGGTTTTCCATTACACTGGTGGGTTAAAAAATGGTTTCATAGGGTTTCCCAGTTCATGGATAACATGATAACAAGTCCCCAGTATGTTCTTTGCGGTTTCATGCCGGGCAATCCCAGAGCTAATCATCAACTAACAGGGCCAAGAAACCATTTTCGGAGCTGGCAGCCAGCTGTTCCTTTCACGACGCCGTTCAGTAGGTCAAAACAGGTGGTTTGAACTGGGCCAGTTTTAAAATGGGGACGTCAAGCGTGACCATTGAGACAGGTTATAAAATGTTATAAGTATCATTGTCATTGGAACTATTTTGACCCGACTTCGCTATTGTTTGGGGGCCCCACTTTCAAGGCTTGTCAAGGGATCTTCTTTGGAATTGAGTGGTCGCAGATCCGGAAAATCAGCTATAAAACAGCCATGGTTGAAAACTAAAATCTTCATTTTCCATCAGTTTTGTTAGATATAAGTTGATATATACAGCTTTAGATCATTAGATAGATATATATATATATATATACAGTCTTTGGCTTCGCAGCCCCAAATTTGGGACGTTCCCCCTTTGGTGACAACTTTCGGCCGGAGTGTCAAGAGCAAGCGAATCATCGAAATCGAGTTGGTGGCGTGTCTAGGTGCATTGATGGTTGACAAGAAACCTCAGCCATCAGGCATCATCAGGCCATGGCCGATCAACCCACATGGCCTGATGGAGAAATCCAGACATTTAGTGGTTTCAACTGGTTAATATATGGTTAATATATGGTTAATGATGGTTAATATTAATCTGGTTGGTGGTTGAGCCCTACCCCTCTGAAAAATGATGGAGTTCGTCAGTTGGGATGATGACATTCCCAACTGAATGGAAACAAACATGTTCCAAAGCACCAACCAGTATATTATGGTTTTCTTTAAAAAGCTGATGCCAGAAAATAATCACCAAAAATTACTTTACTTCGTGTGATCCCCACCATGACATTTATACATTTTCTTACTGGCAAATCTTCTGGCATTCTATCTGACATATCTTCTGACATTCTATTTGGCATTCTATCTGGCATATCTTCTGGCATATGATCTGGCATATCTTCTGGCATTCTATCTGGCAAATCTTCTGGCATCTATCTGGCATTCTATCTGGCATATCTTCTGGCATATTTCTGGCATTCTATCTGGCATATCTTCTGGCATATATTCTGACATATCTTCTGGATTCTATCTGGCATTCTATCTGGCAGATATTTATCTATCTGGCATATCTTCTGGCATATCTTCTGACATTCTTTATTCTTCTGGCATATTTTCTGGCATTCTATCTGGAATCTTCTGGCATTTCTATCTGGGCAATCTATTGGCTATTTCTGGCAATGATCTGGCAGTCTATCTGGCATATCTTCTGGCATATCTTGGGCAATCTTCGGCATTCTTCTGACATATTCTAACTTTCTTCTGCGCATTCTTTGTCCCATATTTCCTACATGGAGGTCCGGCAGGGAACACTGGGCGCGGATGGTCGCGGTTGAGGTCCGGCAGGGAACACTGGGCGCGGATGGTCGCGGTTGAGGTCCGGCAGGGAACACTGGGCGCGGATGGTCGTGGTTGAGGTCCGGCAGGGAACACTGGGCGCGGATGGTCGTGGTTGAGGTCCGGCAGGGAACACTGGGCGCGGATGGTCGTGGTTGAGGTCCGGCAGGGAACACTGGGCGTGGATGGTCGTGGTTGAGGTCCGGCAGAGAACAATGTGGATCGCGGGTCGCAGTTGAGCAAGGACGACGAGGACGACGAGGAGGACGAGGAGGAGGAGGAGAAGAGGCGGAGGAGGAGGAGAAGGAGGAGGAGAAGGAGGACGAGGAGGCAACTGACATAAAATCTAACAACCCTCACCTGGCAGGTGGGGAAAAACGGGTATCACATTTACTGAAAACTCAGTCCCCATAAGTAGGGTCCACCAGTTGGAACTTGATTGATAAACCCAATGAAGTCAGGCTAAGTATAGGTATATCTACCATAAACCCTAGTGAAATGGGAGCAACGGGCTTCACCTTGTACCCATGGCAATGGAAAATCACCGATTTGAAGATATTTCTCCATTAAAACCACATTTAGATCGGATTTCAAGTGCAATGTTTTATTACCAAAAGGTACCCTCTGGTTGTTTAACATAGCAATGGAACATGACCCATAGCTAGGATGACTTCTCATGATCTACATCTGAAAAATGGTGATTTTCCAGTTGGCAAGGGGTATATCATCTTAAAACACACCATGAATTCACCATTAAATCCCATTAAACACCATTAAATCCCATGCAAATCTCATAAAATCCAATAAATCCCATGAAATATCCCATAAAAATCCATAAAAAAAATGGAAATCCATAAAATCCATTAAAATCAATGAAAACTCATTGAATCCCATTAAAATCCATAAAAATCCATTAGAGCCCATTAAAATCCATTAAAATCGATTAAATCCCATTAAATCCCATTAAAATCAATTAAAATCAATTAAAATCCATTAAAATCCATTAAATCCCATAAAAATCCATAAACATCCATTAAAATCCATTAAATCCCATAAAAATCCATAAAAATCTATCAAACTCCATTAAATCCCATTAAACACCATTAAATCCCATGCAAATCTCATTAAATCCCATAAATCCCATGAAATATCCCATAAAAATCCATTAAGCACCATTAATTCACTATAAACCCCCAGCATCCCATAACATCCCATACCATTCCACGGCCAAAAGGCCGATGATGCTGAGCACCACCGTGTCCACTTCGGCAGCCCAGGGATGCTGGCGCCAATAGCAGCAGGCTGTCAAGTAGAAGGAGCACCCCAGGGGCGCCCAGAGATACCTCTGGAGGAGAAAAATCAGAAAATTGAGAGAGAGGTATAACCACTATAGTTCATGGGAGACACATACATAGATACAGATATAGATATGGATATAACACCATAGCTGGTTACCCTCTGGTAATGACTAACAGTTTGCTGTTGAAAATTGCCATTTTGTTCATTGATTTATCAATTAAACATGGTGATTTTCCATAATTTTTTGTATGTTTACCAAAGGGATCCACCCAACTGTACTACGGCGGACCCAAGGAGATAATTCCCATGTTTTTTCTGACTCGTTATGACCACCATAAACCGTAGTAGGCAGAAGAAATCCACCAAACAACCTAGAGATGTTTTTTTAATCTACTGATAAACCGATTATTAACTTGGCAAGGGTAAAAAAATGGCAGTTTGGCATCGCAGTTTGGCAGATCCCGGTAGCACCAACGGTAGCAGCTGCCTAACTCCTTAAGACGCCCCTTAAAATGGTGGTGTAACCACCCGCTTTGCCAGCTACAATTGGGCTTAATATGGTTTGATAAGCCCTGGATAGAGGTGTTGAGAATTTTTTGATCAACCATTCATGGTAGTTAAAGACAAAAACAATCTACTTGAACAGCAACGACGAACAAACAGGGATGTTGTGAACATATAAAATAGATTGTAGCCGATCAGATCACTTGATATTTTAATGTGACATGATCTGACAAACATGAGGGTGGCCATCTTTGCATGAACCTTCGTGTGGAATCCGATATAATTAATCCGATCAATACCCCAGAAATCTGCAGGACTTGGCTTATAAATGCTTACAAACCTTATTATATAGAGACGGATTTTTATCCAAATACACTCATTGATTTTAGATGGGATACTCCTGCATGAAACTGGCTCAAAAAGTAACCGTCAATCCTAGAATTCAAAGGACACTTTGCAGGGTTTACCCTCCAGTTGTGGTAAAAAAAATGGAAATCCATAAAATCCAATAAAATCCATTAAAATCAATGAAAGTCCATTAAAATCCATTAAAATCTATTAAATTCCATTAAATCCATTCTTTCATAAGTGAAATCCACCATGTTCGATAGATTTCACCCCGCAATTTTTGTTGGACCACGCCACATGGGAATCGGCAAGCCCGACGCCAAGGACCAGCAGAAGTAGAGCACCACCACCAGGTCGTTGACCCACCTGGCACATTCGTTGATGTTCAGGGGGAAAATCTAAGGAACAAACCTGTTATCTATTATAATTATATAAGGTCATGAATACATAAATGAATTACACGTATATAGAATTCTCTGTAACGGTCTATACGTACTTGTGTTTGTATCTATTGTGCATTTGCATTTACCATCTGGTAATTTAAAATAACTATGGAAAATCACCATTTGTAGTGAATTCTCCCATGAAAAATTGTGATTTTCCATAGTTATGTGAGTTTACCAGAGGGTACATGTGTATCTGGACAAATTATGGAATGAGTCAATGTCCGAAAGCAAGGCTATTTCGATATATAGTTGCCCTAATCTCAGCCATCATTCCAGTGACTCGCAGCGAGGCCTTTTTCGGATCCACATGTTAAAATGTTTGTATGCAAAGAGATGACACGGCAACCCCCATCAATAAGACCAATAAGAATTGCCACTCACTTTTTGAATCTCTGACACTTCTATGCAGCAATAAGGGTACATCTGATAATGGTGGGAATTTGATGTGCTCCCCAAACATTTGAGATGCACCCTCATCTTTGGAGTTTATCACCCGAATCATGGTATTCCTATTATGTTGGGGGGTGTTTTAATTTTTTCGGGGGAATGAGGGGAAGGGATCAATGGGTGGGTGAGCCCTAGATGCTGCTTTTCAGAAAAGGCTTTCGGGACCGAAGTCAAAATATTATGTTTCTGCCGTTCGATCCAAACATTCATACAAACCATCAAACCATATTAGGCCTACTGACATATAATAAGGAAAACTTAATTGCAGTTCATAATGCTAAAAACACTAAGACTAATAGCTAAAATGATCATCGCTCCCTTTTTTGAAGATAAAACTAAGGGACTCATAATTTCATTCTAACACTGATACTGACATATTTTAGTCATGCAGCATCCACTTTTCAAAAACCACACATATGAGTATGGTTCAAAAATAAAGACGTCAAAAACCCCAGATTTAAGTTTATCTTTACTGTAATATTAACAATCCAAAAATTGGGGTACTCAATGACTTTTTATCCATACCCATATGGTTATTTTCGTCCAAAGGCTGCTACCCGGATGGTACCCTAAGTCATAACTGGTTAATGGGTGGTTATTGGCCCAAATATGCTGGTTAGTGGTTTCAACCCCTCTGAAAAATATGAAAGTCAGTTGGGATGATTATTCCCAATATAAATGGAAAAATAAGATTTATGTTCCAAACCACCAACCAGCCATCACCTTCTGTTAAACTAACATAACTATGGAAAATCACAATTTTTAATGGGTAAATCCACTACAAACAATAACCAGTATGGTATTGACCCATGCCCCCCCCATAAAACCCAAGCTCCGCCAGCGCTGCCAAGGTGCTGCCAGGCTGGAACGATCTTCCTCCAATCCGCCAGCTGTTTTTTTGGGAACGAACCAGGCAATGTATGATTTACCTATGAAGAATAAAGAAACTATAGATCAATATCATTGTTGGGAAAGGTTCTTATAAACTTTTTTGGCCAAGAATATACCTATATATAAAGTATTGTGGGATTGTATGTCAAATTTCATACTATATATAGCATATCCCATCAGTGGCAATAGTATCGCGTTATTAGCATACTAGTCATCACACGGTATATTCTGCATGATGATCATTCATAGAGGATTGATAAGATTAGTAACAAAATGAATCCAAAATGATTATAAGCGTTGGGATCTAACAATAGCTGTGCATAAAATTCCCCATTGAACCAAAATAAAATCCATAAAACCACCATTAAAGCACCAGCAAAAATCCATTGCATTTCTGGAAGAAATCCCGCCTGAAGGTCTCCTCGGAGGCTAAGCGCATTCCAGCCTTGACCTTGAATCCGAAACATTCTGGATATTTCGAAATGGATCCATCATACCATTCACTATTCTATGGTGAATAGCTTAGATATGGTTAATAGTGATAGTCTTCTGGATATCACAGTGGATATGTTCGAAGGAAGTTTAGAAGTCAAACTTCCGACAATATGGACAGATGAAAAGCAGAGTAGGGCAGAGGCAGAGAGAAGAGAAAGATTAGAAGAGAGAAGAGTAGAAGAGAAAGAGTAAGAGGACAGAAGATACAGATGCGCGAAAAGGTAGGAAAGTCGCGAAACACTGTGTTTTTCCAATGATTTGTGGCTCAGGAGGGTCGAAAAGTAGGCTCGCTAAAGCGGCGGGTGCGGAGCCAGCTGGCACAGGAGCGATGAAAAATTGCACGCCGTTGTGGCGCGAAGCACATTTCCAAGTCAAAAGGTACAAAACACCTCAGGTCCGGACCACTTTTGGAAGTTGAGATGTCGAAAAAGTGCGCGCCGTTGTGGCGCGAAGCACATTTCCAAGTCAAAATGTACAAAGCACACTATGGTCGGACCACTTTTGGAAGTTGCGATGTCGAAAAAGTGCACGCCTTTGTGGCGCGAAGCACATTTCCAAGTCAAAAGTGTTAAAAACTGGCGGTCTCGGACCACTTTTGGAAGTTGAGATGTCGAAAAAGTGCACGCCGTTGTGGCGGGAAGCACATTTCGAAGTCAAACTGTACAAAACACTAGGGGTTCGGACCACTTTTGGAAGTCCAGATGTTGAAAAAGTGCACGCCGTTGTGGCGCGAAGCACATTTTGAAGTCAAAAGGGCTAAAAACTGGCGGTCTCGGACCACTTTTGGAAGTTGAGATGTCGAAAAAGTGCACGCCGTTGTGGCGGGAAGCACATTTCCAAGTCAAAATGTCCAAAACACAAGGGGTTCGGACCATTTTTGGGGGTTCAGATGTTGAAAAAGTGTACGCCGTTGTGGCGCGAAGCACCCTTCGAAGTCACACTACATTACAGTACATTACACTCCAGTACACCCCACTACACTAAATTACACTACACCACACTACATTACACTGAATGACACTGCAACACAGATAGACAGGTAGACAGCTAGACAGATGAAAGGGAGAGAGAGACAGACAGGTAGGTAGGTAGGTAGATAGATAGATAGATAGATAGATAGGCAATTAGATGAAAGAGAGAGAGAGAGAGAGGAGCTGGGTAGATGAGATAGATAGATAGATGGCTAGACAGATAGACAGACAGAAAGACAGACAGATCGATAGACAGACAGACAGACAGACAGACAGATAGATAGATAGATAGGTGGATAAATAGATAGATAGATAGATAGGTGGATAAATAGATAGATAGATGGATGGATAGATGGATACATGGATAGATAGATAGATAAATAGATATAGATAGATAGATAGATAGATAGATAGATAGAGAGAGAGATAGACAGGTCGACAGCTAGACAGATAGACAGATGAAAGAGAGAGAGAGAGAGATCGATAGACAGATAGATACATAGATAGATAGATAGGTAGATTGGTAGGTAGGTAGGTAGGTAGATAGTCAGAGAAAGCAAGAGAAAGAGTGAGAGAGATCAAGCACCTTTCGGTCCATCAGTCGCTTCGCTCTGCCATCCCTGATTCACAACAACCAACCTCTCCTATAGGTTTCCTATTTTTGAAACTTCCGCCACCGCCTTGTGCGGTACTACTGGTAATGGTGAGTAGTTTTCGTTTATGAAATTATGATGACATTGTATATGGATGAATGTTGATGAATATCTAAGTTATAGTGTATTTATGTGAAGGCATAAGAACATAATTATCACTGTCACCCAAAAACAGCATATGAAAGATATATGAATTGTATATCACGCTTAAATATCACCAAACAAATAATATTTAAATGGTATATGCATGGTATATGTACATCTAGCAATAACCTCAACGACAATAGAAACAAATGGCAATCATGATAATGCATGAATATCTAAGCTAGGATATTTGTACAAGGATATCTTAGATATACAAAACTGGGATTATCTACATCTAACTTGGGATATCTATGACTTGCCGGGTTAAAAGGTGGATTTCTAAGAGAAAATATGTAAGAACATGAATATCCATGTTGGTTGAACCCAGGGATATATAAATAACCAATTCAAAACATGATATGTATCTAAAGTGGATATTTTTATATTATTCTATATCTAGAATCTAGACAACTTGGGATGTTTATATTTATTACTTGGAATAATCTATATCTAATAAGGCAGCCTTGGGTGAAATTCGAAAAGATTGAATTCAGTTGGACCCGGAAGCAGCAAACATGAGGTTTCACCACCCAAAATGATGATGATAGCTGTAAAGTTGCGTTTTTTTGCTAAAAGATATGTTTACATGGGCAAATCAATATAGAAACCTCCTAACCAATGCAACAAAAAGTGGAACATTCTACTAAAGTGGGGGTACATTACTTTTCGATCCTTTTTGGGGCAACTATAAATCTACAAAGCATATGGGGGAAAAACTCTGGGACTAGAAATTCACGCATAGAGATTTAACCCATGAAAACTAGGGAACAATCGATCCCTGCTAAATAAACTCGTCCAGAAAGGGATCTCTCCACCGGTGAAAAATCGAAGCGGGGGAAACATTTGTCTTTTGCAATTGGAAAAGCATCCGGAAACCGTAAATTGAAGCAAAACCTGACACACAGGTAGACTTAACCAACAAAACCTGGGGATAATCACTCTTTTTAATGGAAGAAACATCTTCAAATGGGACCTAAACCCAACAGAACCGGAGATTTTTTCTCAAGGTCACTCGGATCAACCGTACGTCACTCGTAATCTGATCCTGCGGTATCTGGAGAATGGAGCCAAAAGAAATGCCTGCCGGCAGGGATTCAAAAAGCAAAAATCAGCCGCGTGTTTCTGGACCTTACAGCACCACTGTCACGGAGGAATCGTCATCCGCTCCTCACTTCTCTTTTTTGTTTTCGATCGCCAGTGTCCTTCTCATGCCGTGGAGGGCCGGTTCTCCTGCAGCTTTCTCGTCGATCACACGAACTTGCTGGGTTGTGAGCTCGATGGTCAAATCGAGATACGCTCTGTACATTTGGCCAGTCGCTTGGGCGAGTTTCGGCCCAAACAGGCTCCCATAGCCCCCCCAGGGGGAGCCGCGCACGACGTTCCCAAATCCCAGGGATGCAGTGATGGTCTCCGACGAGGAATCCCCATCAATCTCGAAGGTGAGCGACGCTGCACGATAAAACGCAACGGCGGCCTTTATGGACGGCGACAGATTGAAGGTCATCGCTTCCCTTCCCAATTCTCTCGCCGCGAACGAGTTGGTGAGCATTCGTAGCCCCGATCAGGCGAGCCAGGTGTCAGCCTGTTGGAGAATGCCCAATGGGCACGGTAAATCGTTCGAGGACAGTGCCTTTGCAATGCTTGGGGTGGGAATATGATCCAAACCCTGCATGGGCCCGTTGGAGAATCATGATTTCGGTAACATGGCTATGACTTGAAATAAAATTCCACCAGTTTCAAACAAGTGGGATATTCACCTGCGGAAAATGCGTGCGAGTTTCATGCAATCAAATTTATTTTTACCTTTTGGGGTTGTAGTCAGTCGATCCCAAATCAGGGTAATTCTTCGTTAGCCAGAGGCATGTTCAAAAAATTGGGAGGCCTACGGACGCGGCACTTGAATCGATTGACAAGTAGGATATCAACAATCGCGGCATCCGGGCGCATTGCCATCCACACAAGGAGCAGTTAAATCAGCAACGGGGAAACAATGCCACAACAAAGTTCGGAGCTAGAACTGACCCCTAAAAAATAGGGGATATCAACCCATTGTCAACCAATCGCCATGTGAGAACTGGCTATTTCTTTAATGTTCAAACATGTCTTGTTTACCTTCTTACTTAGTTAACAGGTTTATGACATGAACAATTTTTTCCACAGTTTTTGGTAGATATTATATATATATATAAACTCGGGCAAGTTATAATGATTCACACACCTGAAATAAGGCAATTTTGGGATGATTCCCCTTATTAACCATGATTCCAGTAAGGTCGCAGTGAGGTCGTTATACTTTAACCATGGTTCACAGGGATTTGGTTCCATGCCATTGGCTGTTGGAGCAACTAGGTCTCGTGGGTGATGCCTGATTATGTGTTGAATTTGCCATGAATGGAATCAACGATCTTCTTTTTCTGGGTTTAAGTTAATTCTACTTATAGGCCCAAACTAAAAACCTGGTATTTTTAAAAACACCTTTTTTTTCTGTACCCAGAAAAAAGAAGGTATTGGATTCCGAGGGTATATATATATATATATATACAGTATATACATACTGTTCTTATTCATGGGGTTTTGATGGGTTTTGCTAACACGTTTGGAGGGCACCACCGGCACCAGTAGCTTTTCCATGTGTCCAGCTACGTCGTTGACCATGTTGACCTTCATGGTGGCGCCGTCATCGTTTTCGAAGCGCATGGTCTCCTTAGCGACTCCACGGGAAGCCAAGGTATGGCTTAAAAGGGCGGCCACGAGGAATGCGGTCTGAATGCATGATTTGTCAAAATTTATTTGATATGATTTTTGCAAACGGAACTGAGGGGTTAGTTGAAACCTACCTATATAATACATTTTATTTGGGATGAGCATCCCTAGATCCCCGAACTGCCCCAAAATGGGCCAATTTCTCAAACTGAAGGCTTAGACATACCGTTTTGATGCTTGATGAGAAGTTTTTTGTGGAAGATGAGAATCACATAGCTGCAGGCCACTACCCATAGGATATTGCAGCCCGGAGCCACAAAGAATGCCTGAAACCCCCGAGTGCCCTGTGTTTCGCCATGGAGCCCAAATGGAATCACCGAAAATGAGCCTGGCGACGATCAGGGGAATCCGGGTCCAATTTTTTTTCTCCCACCTCCCCATGAGAATGACAAATATGACAATGAACATTTTTTGGGACGACATGAACGAATCCATCACATCCTCGTCTTAGCCATGATCCATTCATACTTTCATACATTATGTCATGACCGAGGCCTGGTCATGAGATGTGACGCCAGCGTGGAGGAAAACACCGCGGTGCCCAGGGAGGCGTAGTCCCTGCCAGCTGAAGATGATTCCTGTAGATTCCCCCAGTTTTGGAGGATTTACCAATGGGAAAAATCCAACGTCATTTTCAGCAAATCCAAGTTTTTCCCGGTGGGATTCCTTTTTTAGTTGGGATAGAAGATGAAGAAAAGATGGGAATATATATATAATATATATATGTATGTATCTGTATATCTGCACATAGTTTTGTGATATTTGTGCGTGTATATATCAGTTTGTGCACATATGGGCATGGATGATACTTCCAAAACATATCATTCACTTTACAACCCACACAATTTCGAGGGCGAAAACCATCGCCTGGCATCCGATCCGTGGAGTCTCATAGCACCGTGAATGATTCAAGGGTTTTTTGAAGGCTTTAAAAGTATACTATATAAGTATATCCTGTATCATATCTGTATCATACTATAATATACCATAATATACTATATCTATCTAATTCATTCGAATTCTATTTCATCGATTTCTTTCCATGTATCACATCCGATGGAGAACTTCAGCTGTAAAAAGCCACCTGGTCATAATCGGGGACTCGCTGGGCATCATGGCAACGTGGTGGACAGCCCAACGGATGGGAGCTGTGGCTCAAAGTGTAATAGGTCAAGGTCAGTAATAGGTCATGATCATAGTAAATAAATTGTAAAATAAGAGTGCCAGTTATTTTAGGTACATTTTGTAGGACACCCCCATATTTCATGGTAAACACCATGATTTTGGGTAGTTTTTGTCTTCAAAGAATCCATGAATTCGTCTCATTCTCCAGCATTTTTGCTTGTTTCAAGGCCGTGAAATCGACTGATGTTGGGCACACGGCTGCGGAACACGGCGTCGTTTGTTTTGAGTCTTGCCGCTCGAGCCGGGAACAAGCACCAAAAAGGGGCACAGCTGCACTGGTCCCCTTTTTTCACGGCCGCGCCGCGGGGGTGATCCGCTCCGTCTGTTCGTGCGCCGTGGCGCCGGAGCAGTGAAACGATTCTCTCATCCGCTCCCTCGAAAGTACCCTCTGATGGTTTCAGCCTCAGGAGCCTGGCCGAGAGCTGAATCATCAATGGGATTTGTTTCAAAGGATGAATGGATATCTCTGGTTGGTGGTATACCTGCCCCTCTGAAAAATATGAGTTTGTCAGTTGGGATGATGAAATTCCCAATATATGGAAAGTCATAATCCAGCCATGTTCCAAACCACCAACCAGATATGAATTGGCAGCACATAAGCAGGTGCCCCAAAGCAGGGCCACAAGCCGAGTTGGGTTCCAGAAATGGCCATGATCTGGTGTCCCTCAAGAGTTTCCAGGGGTGAGAAAAATGATAAATAAACATTCCTGAACTTCCTTTGGAGAAGCCTCCGTTAAGATTTTTATAAACATTATGTAATTTTTCAAGATTTTAGCAAAATTCCTGATAAATCACCATTAGATAAATAAACATTACAAATTGGTGAATCAAATGGATTTTCTGGCCGTGCCTGATAACCTGGGTTGCAACGGCCAGGTTTGTCCTGTTGAATCAGCCATTGCCGGGACCAAACCTCCTGCAAACTCGAAAATCGGATGTGCTTCCCGGAAATGTGGTTGCCAAAGGAAACTGGGGTTTGTCCCTTGTAGGACTGGCTGATCGAGCTGTTAACTTATTAGTTGCATGGCACCTGGAATGCACATCCGAATCCACATCCAAATGCCACGCAAACATTCATGACGCTGCGTGAATCGTCGACGTGCGTCAACAGTGCGTGCCCGCGCACGCAAGTGCACTATTAAAACTTTCGAAGATCTTTGATTTCAATCAGCAGTTGCATATTGAGATCCTGAACGTCCGGGTGAAAATGGGGCATTCCTTGGGATTGAGGCGCTACTTTTCTGAGGTATGCCAATTTCATTCATTGCGATCCGAAGACTTGTTGCTATTAAAAATGGGCATATGACTAACAATATACAAATGGCAGGTTAAAACCTACTACCCTCAGGTAATCCAACATGGCCGCTTGCTGCGCGTCAATTTCATGTGGAAAATCATCGCTCTTCTCCATGACAACTTTCATTGTCAAAGGGAAAGTGACGAGCAACGTAAGTGGCCACGGTTCAGTCATATGGACCTAACATGACTTCACCCAATTCTGGTTGGTGGTATACCTGCCCCTCTGAAAAATATGGAAGTCAAATGGGATTATTGTTCCCAATAGATGGAAAGTCATAAAAGCCATGTTTCAAAGAATGTTGGTGAATGATCGTTGATAATTGGTTCCAAACCACCAATCAGCAATTCTGGAACCTAACATGACCTAATGTCCGCTGACGAAATCTGCAAAAAAATCCGAAGATTTCCAGGAAAAAACATCACCTCACCAAGGTATCTCCGGTTTTTTGTTGCGGAAGGTACCGCCCAATGATAGAGGCTTCGCACACCGTAACAAACTACAGAGCTTATCCATACCCATGAATAACTATTCCTGGTAAACTCAGGATGAACATCGATTAACATCGATTAGCTATCGCAAAATCAGCCTTTCCCTGCATTTTCCATCCGATTTTTGTCCTTGGATCCCCACGTCCCACGGCAGTTCCAGCGTGTCCTCGCTCTCGGCGCTACTGTCGCTGTCGCCGCCACTGTCCGGCAGCTGCATCTGGGCCGACAAGCGGCCCAGCAGAAGACCACTCTCAGCACCGGGGCAGAAGAACTTCACCTGGGGTTTCCATCAGTGGTGGTACCCCCATAGCTGGATGGTTTACTTCATGGAAAATACCATTGAAGTGGATGATTTGGGGGTACCCCTATTTCAGGAAACCTCCATATGATCAAAATCTAAGAACAATAAAAGCAATAAAACATAATAGAATAGTGCTGCTGCTGCTTCTGCTCCTACTACTACTACTACTGCTACTACTGCTAGTACTGCTGCTACTACTACTACTGCTACTACCCCAACTACTACTACTACTACTACTACCACTACCTGGTAATATGATGGTAATAGCAATTAATAATAGTAAAAAAGGAGGAATGGATAGGAATGGTAATATAATGCACGTAGAATATGTAGAATACTGATGATGGCAATATCATGTTACTGGTATGATTACTATATTGGCATGTTACAACGAATGTAAAATTACAATACATATGTTATGGTGTATAAATTGTAATCTATAAATTGTAATCTATTGCTAATAACTGAAAGATAATGTAATGATCATACACTAGTAATACTTCTATCAGAAATACTAATAATGATAGTTAATATAGTGATTATGGCACTGATTGCAATAATAAAGGATATATAATAGTAATAACTATTATAATGTTAACATATTAGCGATGGGTAAATAAGAAAAATAATGAACAACACATACATGGTTTCAGATGAAATTTTAATAGGTATGATGGCAATGGTATCAAAGGGTGATCATAAGATCATAGACTTGTAAGGCTGATCATTATTGCAGGTACAAGTCGATGTTCCCCTGGTAATTATAACGGACATAGAATTATACCTGCCATTCCTCTGGGAATGCCCAAATTACTGTTGTAATGGGCACATAGCAATATTGAATGTGGCCAAAAGCTGATATGCGCAATTGCCAGTACCATTGTGATGGGTATAGTTGTAGTATTAGTTGTAGTATAACATAGCTGAGTTGCCCAATGAACTTCAATGGAACATATTTTATCTGCCATTCTGTGCAACAATGTAAGGTATATCTTTGCTGTTCTTAAACTTTAGCATATATATAGATACAAATGAATTGTAGAAGAGCGCAAAAGATGTGGATGATCAATCAGAATATTGGTAGATAACACCAGGAATATCAGGGCCGGTACGGGCAGTTTTATCCAAAGTTGTAAAGAACTAAGCATAGTCACTGAAATATAGCAAATATCATGCATTATATGTTTGAAAACAATGTGGTACATATGTGTAGTGGGAATCAATTCGCATGGTAAGGGTGTAAATAATGGACATGTCACTGGTCTGTGCTGGGCAAATGGCTCCTCAGGTATGTTGTTTGTTTAAGTTCCCACTAATTATCGCCAGGGATATAAATGTATAAACCTAATAATGGGTTAATCTGTAATTTATAACTGTAGATGAATCTCCGTCATAATTCCAACCGTTTTCGGTTTTATAAAAGAACTCGCAGTAGCTCTCGGTTGGGGGCCCATCGTCATAATTCCAACCGTTATTGGGTTTATAAAAGAACTCGCAGTAGCTCTCGGTTGGGGGCCCATCCTGCAAACATGGGCGTGAGAGCAAGGGGGCTATAGAAAGAATACTTGGTAATGAATGCTATCCACTAAAATTTGATGTTCCTTTTGTTCCAGGGGTTGCTGTGCAACCAGGGTTTTGAAGGAACAAGCTGTAACTTTCA